GAAATATTACCCAAAAACTTGATATAATAGCAATACATGCAATAATAAAATGTTATTAGAGTAAATGTATGTTGGAGTTGAAACTTTTACTTTTCTTTTTGTATTAGCCCCAGAAGAAAATGCTTCTTTCAGTAATCCGAATCGTCATAACACAAATTACTGCTCTTTAATGTTAAAACTTAGTCTTAATTCGTAAAAATTGTTGTAAATTTTTATTTGAAAAAAAAAATTAATTTTCAGATCAAGACTCAAATTTTTTTGCCTAACAGAAAGTTCGTTACAAAAACGTTGAAGGATATTTTAGACACAATTCAGTTGTTAAATAATACTTTTTTTTTCTAATATTAATTTTTTAAACATTTTACTCTAAAATGTGAACACAAAAAATTTTACTTTTCTTGTAAAATGGTTTCTCTTTCAAAGGATTTTTGATTTCTTTATAATTTTCTTGCATTCTTTTCCTCCCTTTTTTTTTCATTGAAGGACATTTAACTGTCTTCTTCTTCTTCCTTTTCTACTTAATGTTACAAAGAAATTTTATATCTTAATGTAAAAGGATTTTTTTTTCTGTTTTTACCTTAGAATGATTTTTTGCTTAGAGTGTTTATGTGTACACTTGTAATGAATTGGGTGGGTTTGAAATACCATCATAAAAATCATCCAAAACTACAATTAGATATTTTACTTAATATTCTCACTGTATTTACGTTAAACCGTCTTGATATTCTTTAAATAGCATCTAAATATTAATCGTGGGTCACTTAATTGAAGATTAATTACTGCTTTATAATTTTCAGTTTTACATGACGATTAAAAAGATTTATAAATCAAATTAGTAAAGATAGAATATTTTCGCATTAAGTTTAAGTCATCAAAAAAATTTTAACCATTGAAACTCCATTTGAAATGGTTTTACGATTTTATTGAATTGCGACATTGATAGCCACAATGTACTTTTGGAACCATTATTAAAATTCAAACTCTTTAAAATTATATATTTTTGCTTATTCCAATTTATTAGGAGGGTAAATACAATGTTTTTCAAAATGTTAATAAATAAGGAATAATTCCTACTAAATAAGCTCCGAAAAATAGTAGAAAATATGTGTTCAAAAAGATATTCTGAAAATATTTAAGGCAAATTTAATTTAAAAGCAAAAATGAAATTTAATCTGAACAATTTATCATAAATTTATTTATTGTTAACTGTGCGTCTCTCTACCCTTATTGCTAACTGTGCATATTTCCTGTGCCAGGACGTTGTGAGGCTGGCACTTCTCAATATGCATGTATTTTTCTTTTTAAATTTATTTCAAAATCAAATTCTTAATTCTAAATTAGTTTTTAAAAATACTTGCATGTATTTTCGAGATTATTTCTTTCAAAATTCCGAGCATCACCCGTATTATAACACAAGTATTCAGAAATTAAGAAAAAGAAAATAAAATTTAAACGACACTTTAGAAAAAATATAAAAGACTTGACGTTTTTCTTTGCTCTTCCTTTCTCATTTTATTTCATTTTCTTCTTCATCTTTAACATTGAAAAATTCCGAGAAAAAAGAAATTACTGTGAAAAAAATTTAAAGGACACTAAAATCAACATTTTTAGTATTATCTTTTAATACAATTATACATACACAAATACAAATATAAAAGTGTATTCATTGAACCAGATGATTTATAACGAACTTGAAATTTTAAGCGTTGTTTATAAGTTTAATAATATTTTTTATATAATTGCATACACAAGAACGTTTTTGAAACAATGTCAAGGATAATCGAAAATATTATTTAAAAAATTTTTTTTGAAAAAAATTAACAAAGTTTTTAAATATCAATTGTAAATATTTTAGCAATTTTTAAATTAATTTTGAAAGCACATTTACTTTATTCCTTTTATATTTAATTAATTGGAAATTCATGAACAAAATATTCAAAATAAGGAATTAGAAAAATAAATCTGGTCTAATCATTTTTAAAATTTTGTTTTTTTCCTTAAATTTGCAATCGTTTCACCGACGAAACGACCGGCAAATGCTTTATAATAATTTTATTATAGCAGAATTAATATAGCTCTATTTTTATATATTGAATTCAAAAATTTAACTTTAATATTTGAATTTCAATTCGAATTGTTTCCGCCTTCTCTGAAGAAATTAATAATTTTCGATTATACCATAAATGTAACAACAATTCATGGATACGATACCATATGAACTCTTATGATAACTCTTATGATAAATACCATCTAAACTAAAGTCACTTTAAATGGTAGTTGGTAAATTACCCCTTGTTCATAAAGTAACTATGCGTTAAATTATTGTAATATATGAATATTATCTAATATGCTTTTAAACGGCTATTGAAGTCATATGCCAATTATCATTAGAATTCATACAGTTTCACATAATGATCATGTACTACCATTCACATACCACCACATTACATTACCAACATTCCATGTGCCCAAATAGATTTATGGTATAATTATAAAATTATGTTTAAAAATGATAAAGATTCAGACATTTACAATATTAATAACCCTGTTACTATAATTGTATTCTATTACTCTATGTCGTATTGCTTGTAAATGAAATTTCAGTATTGTAAACTCAATAGTTTCTTTGGTAAAGTTAAGTTATTTCAAAATTATAAAGCAGTTTATTGAACCGCTATTTCGAGATTATTGAAATTAACAAAAACTTGTCGCATTTACTATTCCAATTACAGCATTTGTTTTTTGAATTTATTTATTGTACTTGTATTAAATTAGCTCTTGTTAAATTGGCTAAGACCATTATTTTAAAGTGCTTGAGTCGGATAAAAAAACTATAAAATTTTAAAAATACTAATAGTTTTTGAGAATACAATTCGGTTTTATTAATAAAATATTTCATTGAAACAACACAACCGGTAATTTTAACCCGTTAAATAAATAAAATGTTAAATAAATTTATTATAAAATGCTAATATTCATAATAATTAATTTAATTCAATAAACCTTCACTGCAAATACAAAATGAATCTTTGTTAACTTTAAATTCCAAATTTATTCAAATTTATTGAACTAATTTAAATTATATAATAACAGTTCATGCAATCGCTTGTTCTTTGTACTAACCATAAAATTTTTGAATTGGTTACAAATAAAAACTAAAATTTGGTTAAACCAATGATTTTTAAAATAGCACTCTTTTCTTAAATAATTAAATTTACTGCTTTTAATAACGGTCCATTTTACATTTTTTAAATAAATTTTATTCTCATACAAAAATATATTAATTTATTGCATACATTTGGGATGAGCAAAGAAGAAATTGAAAGAATGGTTTAATTGTTGATAAATAATTATACTCTTTAGTGACATGGCATTTACCCTTACCTTTTCACTTTTATAGAAAATTGGGAAAGTTTACAGTTGGAAATATAGGCTGCTGAAAATTTAAATTTTAAGAATTTGAAGCGATAATTGGGAAGAAAATTTTTTTTTGCATCTCCACCCCCTCTCAAGTTATCAGCACTTGAAATTTGTAAAATTTGAATTTTTGACACCTTATATATCCGAAACCGAAAGCTTTTTCAAATTGCTATAACAAGAAGCTAACGGTAAATTCCATGACATTAAAAAGCACAATTATTTTTCTTAACTCACGGAATCAACCCTTAAGATCGAGCATTATGTTAACCCCTGTTTATATTAATTTTTATTTTATTTCAAAGACTGCATAAATTGTTTATCCTAAATATATCCAATCCCAGTATCGTTTATGAATGAAAATAATTTTCATAGTGTGGTTGGTATAGACAGACTATATTTAAAAGCGGTATTTTCACTTGTTGAAGGTAAAAGTGTTAAAATACAAACAATTGGTTTGACCCAACTTTGTTAATTTTCAATTGCAAATTCAACTTAAAAAATGTTATCGTTACGATAAATAGACAAAAATTGCTTTTTTGGCACTATATAACTTCTAGGTGTAGAAACAGCTGTAGAAATTTTCTTTAAGTTCTTGTTAAGGATCTATTTTTGTATAAAATTTTATTTTTGTAAAAAATGTTCTATCTCAAAGGATGTAGAAGTTTTGTAAACAGAGGCACGAACAGACGGACGGACAGAATGAAACTAATAAGCACTTTTTTAAAATTTGTTCTGGAAAACTGTAAGAAGATCGTTATCATTCGAAACATTTTGTTTTCCGTCAACATGTTTTCAAATTAATTGAAAATTCATTGAAACTTCCTTTTATTGCTAATAAACACGTACTGCAAGTAAAAATTTGCATTTTTATCGCATACTTTTCAATTGAAATCGTAATCAATACAAAAATTTATTATTATTGTTTTTATTTTTTTTATTATTCTACATGCACTTTTATAATTTTATAAATTATAAATGTTATCTCTTGTAAACCAAAGCCTTATTGAAGTCGCAAACTACGCACACATTTTTTTAACTTTAATTAGACATAATTTGTATTTTTATGAAAAAATCACATTCTACAACTGGTGTTTTGTAATGAAAAGTCTATGAAGCAAAGTACTCAAAATTTAAAATTTAAAAAATATTAACACTGTACACACAATCATATAAATATTTATTTTTTATACGTTCATACGAAGAAATCCTGTTTATTATACTTGCGTGTTTACGGAAATGGATCCGATTTGACGCTGCATATCGACCAAAACTTTCATTTTTGACCCTCTAACCGATGATATATGGTTTCTAACTTGTTGCTGAATCATGCTATATACACAGTGGTAAAAATTGTTTTTAACATTTTTTCATAATTAATAACAATTTGCCTCCGAATAAATTTCGATCTAAAAGTGTGTAAATTTAATTAAACTTTTCAGATTATAGTAATTTAAACTTGAAACTATATTGCATAAATTTACTATTTATCTTTTCTTTATTTAAATTATTTTTTAAAAATTGATTTAAAAAAAATTAAAGAAAATTTTCCTTAATTAAAATTTTTAATTTTCAATAAACACGTGGTTTGAAAGAATATCAATACTAGTTATATTATTGAATTGCATAACTTTAGGAATGTACCAGCCGTGTGTAGATGATAGATGTGAATCGAATAGATGTAAAATATTGCAGGTAAGTTAACATTTTTAAAACAAATATCTTAAAGAAAATTTTTTTTTAAAATTGAATTAAGTGTGTTCTATAATAATTAAAAAATCATTTAATATTTCGCAAATCAAAAAAAATAATTAATAATATTAACAATTTCACCCAGCATTTACATATATCTATAACATTGACACATATAAAATTAGAAAGTTGAAAGAGCTACTCAATAATGCATACGTTTTTCTGTTAGACTTCGATTCTTTTCTGTTCCCGAGAATGGACTACTTATTCTAGGCACAGAATAGAATTCTTCCATTTCGGTTAATGTAATACAAATATTTTTTCAAAATTCTTAGCATCAGTTTATCATTAGAACAATGTGCAGAGCAAGTTTGTTGAACATATATAAAATTTCTGATATGTTAATTTTTCTCTTTTCTGATAATTGAATAATTAATTATCATAGGTATACATAGAATTAAAATTTGTATCAAGATTAACGATCTTGTCCAATATCAAGTCTATATTTAATTTTATTAATCCCTCATCTATGAAGTACAAATTTGTGTGTCCTTGAAAAAATTAGGGTTTTAAAATAAATTACAATATAATTTTAATTAGGGAAATGCCATTTTATAGTCGAATTAAAATATATTACATATTAACATCATTATTGTGTATACGTATGTATATAATATGTATAAATATGTGAGAATATGTAAATGAATCCTTCAAAATTCCATGTTTTTATTGATTAAAAAATTTTATATTCTTGCATGTTAACATGTTGACATAACTTAATTCAACTTAAGGATACATTAGCTAAAATTATCATTTAAATGTTGTATACATATACCCTCATATATATATGCATAGTATATATGTATATACACCTAATAAACTTTATAATTATACAATGATTAAATTATATTGATATCATCTAAAGTCACTGATTTAATTAAAGAAAATTTTTCTTTATTAAACTCCAATTAAAATCTAAATTATAATGAATTTAAACTCACAAAACAGTAGGTTTCATGGTTTTTCATTGAAACATACCATATGTAAACAATATTTAGATATACATTTATACACATACGAATACACCTTATGTATATGTTAAAACATAATGTTTTACCTTATTATATAAACATACATATTTATTTATAAAATAAAATAGAGGCACCTGTTTAAATAAGAATGAATGAATAGATAAATGTACATACATACACAATGAATAATAAAACATCCAAATAATCCATATATCCTTGAGCTACAATGAACATTTTATATAAATATTTCTACATTGTAGACATTGGCATAAAAATAACAAGTATAAGCATGTACTTTGCTTACAAACCTCTATACATACTTTTATATATGTACATACGTTAAATACATTACCTTGTAAATAAACTTATTAAAATTAAATCTTAGACATGTTATATATGTTGCGTATAGAATTAGTCCTTGTCTTCACATCACTTACAACTTTCTAAAGGATATATTTAAGACATGTTGCTTTTGAAAGTAGAAAAAACTATAGGCAAAATTTAAAAATGTTACACAAACCTCATTGCAATTATATATCGCAACCAAATCAATACTAACAGAGTAAGAAGAATGGTAAAATTCACCAAGAATGGTGTGTTTACTAGAAGAAAAATTAACATAAGAGCGTTCTAACGAATATTTTGTATTATTCTAAAATCACTTTAAATCAGTGATGGTTTCAAACAGAGGGGTTAATAGAGACGGAAATGTTTTACAAGTCGACGCATATATTTTTTGCTTAGCATAAATTTTCAATGCAACCACAATTTTGTGGGAAACAAATTCAATAAATCAATTTCAAAGTTTTTAAACTTTTGACATGAATAATTCATATTTAATGTAATTGTGCTCAGTTTAAAACTATAGAAATTGCGCTGTTAGACTGAAAACTGATCCCTCACAGGATGGTTCTTCAATTCTCTTCGTTTTAATAATTTTTATAATTTCAGTCGTATGAAAATACAAAGAACCACGTATATAATTCTTTCATCTGCTGCAATATTTTATTACATTACTTCATAGACCTTATATTTAAAATATATTTTAAAAATTCTAAAATTTGTGTTGTAACAAATTCAGAATACATTTTAAAATTATTGCTTGATTTCCATTTTTAGCCGAAATTAGAAAAGATTTTTGAATCAATACACTTGTGGTACAGTACAGTTGTAAGTATTATAATCGACGATTACAGCATATTATAGCTTGTATTGAACTTTACAAGGTTATAAGTTTGCCATAATGCACAATTAAATTGACGTTTGTTTTCAGAAAGTCCATAAGTATTTAAAACTTTTTTCTGTTCCTGCAAATATTTCTATAAAATTTCAAATATTCAATGGAAAATATAAAAAAGTTTTTACAACATACTGAAAATAATTCTCACGAAAAATTACATTTTCAATATTTAAACAAAACAAAAAAACTGTTAAACTAGTTTTGCAACAAACTTAGTTCGGTTCGTGAGTAATGGATAATTGTCAAACAATTTCAAATCCGATTTAAAATCAATTCAATCTTGCGTCAATTTTATTTATTCAATAGTATTTGAATTCGTATTGTTGAATATCTTAATTTGATATTAGATTTACATTTTGGTAGATATCTATAAAGTTTCGTTGTTCAATTTTTTATTCGTGCCATAGGGTGGTGGAAACTCGATAGTACGAGTAATTATGAGTAAATAATGTTTAAAAGACAATCAATTTTGAAAAAAAATTTCAAAAATTTTGACTTTGCATTCAAAAGTTTTATAAACTTTTAAGACATTTACACTGTTACATGGCCTGAAGGAAAATTTCATAAGTTTAAGAAGTGTATTCAATCGGAGAAAAATATAAACCCGAAAAGAAGGGCAAGGAGCTAACGTCTCCTCTGAACTCATTTCATTACCTGGGATACGCAATCGATTGGTGGACACTCATTTTAATAAATTTTTCCTGTCAATGCACTTAAAAATAAAAAGTTAAGATTACTTAAATTGTTTGCCTGCAGCGTATGACAGTGTAATATCCTGATTATCACTGGACTTTTCTATATTAAAATATTTTTTGAATTATTTCTATAGAAAAATTTATAACCACTTATATAATAACAAATTAACATATAAAATGCATTAAAAAATACTTTATGTTTTTTTTTTTTGCTTATTTCACTTAGGAACAATAATATACATTAAAAATTTTATTTTCATTTTAGATGTTTGATGATATAATCTTTGCATTTTTCGCACTGGAGATGTCAATTAAAATGGTTGCTATGGGAATTTATGGGAAAAATACATATTTAGCTGATTCATGGAATCGTTTAGACTGTTTTATTGTTTTTGCTGGATTACTTGAATATGTTATGCATGTAGAAAATTTAAATTTAACTGCAATACGAACAATACGTGTATTACGACCATTGAGAGCAATTAACAGAATACCAAGTAAGTATGAATATCTTAAAATTAAATGTATATGCAGGGTTATAAAAAATAAATAAAAAATTTGTAATATTTTAGAGCTCAAAAGCTCCGAATTCAAATTTTTAAGAAAAATTTATTCAATCTTGATTTTTCATTACAATGATTTTGAAAAGTTTAATTATAAGTTAAAATTTAAATTTATGATTTTAGATTGTAAACTGAATGTTAAAGCAACCCACATTTGACTATCACTTATAGATAATTTCTTAAGAACTCTATAACTACAGGAAGCTTTACACAAATTTATTTACAAGAATTTAAATTAAATGTGTCCCGAGTAAAAATAAATGAATATTTTATTTTCTTTTAACACTTTAACTTCGCATGCACAAACAACCAAATTTAATAAAACCAAGAGTTCCAAAGAAATTAAATAAAATTAACTATAATATTTTTTAAAACCAGAAATATGAGCCCACAAAATTATCGCTTTACTTAACAGTTAATTTATCTAACGGTACAAATTCTTTTATTATTAATTTTAAATACCATAATTATTTTAATTATATTGACTATAGTATAACATTATAGTACACAATGATATAAAATTACTGTATAATTGATTCAATACCAAAAAGTTATAAAATATCTTAATATTCAAAGCACTATTCTTTAATGTTCCCTTTAACATTGATAAATCTATCAATAAATTATACTGTTATATCGTATGTACATGCTTACATAAAAAAAATCATAAGTAAAATACTTTTTTAATTATTTCAAATATTTTAAAAATTTCGAAAATTCTGCGAATTATTCAAACTTTTCAAATAAATATTATTGAATCATAAAGTTTCTTGTATAAAAGGATAATATTCAAGTTTATTAATCTTATAAAGTTTATGACAAAAATAAATTTTATTCGATGAAAATAATGCGCGTTTGAATCCTTTAGGAAATAAAAATAATATTATTTTAAAATATTTAAATTCATTAGGAATTGCAAACTTTAAACACCAACAATAATTGTAAAAATAATTTTAAAACTTGAGCAACAAATTTGTTATGGTATAGTATATTTCAAAATTGTGACGTAATTTTACACAATGAAAATTTATTTAAGAGTACTTGACAAGCTTCTGTAATTGGTATGTGAAAAAGGACTTAATTTCCCAAAAAAAAACAAGTGGCCCGTGGTCTTAGTGAACCAAATTGAAATGCCAATTATCAAGCAAATTAATTTATTATTAAGTTAAAACTTATCAAAAGTGTAACATGGACACTTGGTACATATTTAGCTCTTAAAGTCCACCCTGTCTCACAAGTTAATTAACAAAATGTATAAATAAGCAACTCACTTATAAATTTTTTATCAATCCTGTTTCAGGCGAAATATCTTGCTAAAAATTATTTCTTTGGTTTACGATAAAAACTCGTTATTAAATTTTGTACACCTTACATAGGTATCCTTTCCTATTGTATAACCTTTGCTATTATAAGTAACGTAGTCGCTAAAAATAAATTGAAAAACCTTTTTAATTTTTTCAATTTATTTTTAAATCTAAAATTTTAATTTTAAGAATCACATACCTAAAGAACTTAGATCTTCTTGTAAATACCACAGAAATACATTTTGATGTAATTTAAGCTACATTAAATCAATATTGTCAAGATCTTACTTATAGATGTTACGGATAATTGGAAGTCTGGAACAGATCTCTTAATAACAAATTGTTCAATGTATTCTACGGAAAAAACAAATGTGACTTAGTATATATTTTATAATAATAAAATTTCATTGACTAAATCTTGGTCTGTATCAAAATTTTGGAAGAACTGTTCTTTTCAGCTTTATACTACTCGTATCTGTCTGTCTGTGGGTCTATTCGTCTTTAAATTCATTCTTCTACTCATCTATCTGGCTGACCTTTAATCTGTCCGACTGTTTACCAAATTTCTACCAGTCCTTGTCTCATTTTCAGAACAGTTCTCTTCCCTAATACAACTGAAATGACTAAAATTTTAACAGTCTTTATTATAGATACAATATATTGATAAATGTTTTGTATTATTGGAACACAGATATCTTTTAAAATCTTAATCCATCTGCGTCATTTTGCAAAGCATGAGTTTGAACTACCACATTTTTATTCTACTGATTCTGAGCATTTTGACTTTAATTTTTCTAGTCTCGAAATCACTTCATGAATAATATTTAGATAGTAATACATCATTTATTTTTACAAAAAATTACGTTATGTCGTTATGAATATTTCACCATAACCTTCTAATCAAATTTAAAAGAGAAAGTTAAGTGCCATAGGGTTAAGAATTACATTAAAAATGTTAACTCTTCTCTCTATAAAATTACTAAGGAATTATCGAGAATATAATCATGTTTTTTCTTTAAAAAATTTTAGTAACATAAAAGTGACATAGAAGAGAATATCTTTGACATCATTTATTCGACAAACTTTAAAATCTAAACATTTCAAAACTTTTTCCTTATAAATTTTTGAATTAATATTCATCAAAATTATCTTTATATGTACAAGTATAGAAACCAATTTCTTATGAGACAAAATCCAGATTTAATTTTTTTTTTGTGTATTATTATATTTGTATTTTACATAAAATTTTAAAAATAATTTTCCTAGGTTTTAAGCATACACATTCATACATATATAAATCTTATAAATTTGAACAAATTTATTCATTTGAATATTATACAAAACAAGATTAAATTTATTATATTTGTTAATTATGCCATGATAATTTGGATAATTTAAGTATGGTATAACCATGGCATAACTTTGTGATTTGTTTGAATCCAAACTTTATTTAATGCACAACAAAAGTTTAATGAATGTATAATATCACTTTTTATAACTGTAGGCCTCTTTCCTACACACAAATTATACGCAAATTTAATAAAAATTAAAAGCGAGTATAGCATAATAAAATTATACTTAAATTATAAACTCCAATAGCAATATACACACATATTAGTGCATATATATATGTATTTTATATAACCAAAAATTCGTACCAAGATATTTTATATTTTCTTAGATAAAAGGAAACAACAAAACAACTTTGTTAATTAGTATCATAATGATAACATTCATATACGTATACACATAGCTAATTAAAGTATTTTATAAGCGTTTCCTGATATTCATCATTATATTCAAAATAGGCTTTTAAAATCTTCGTATAAAAGTTCAAGAATAATTTATACATACAAACATAAATGTAATTAGGTATAAACACAGAATACATACACACATGCAACCATTATAAATACATATATACAGGGTGATTCAGAAAGTTCTACACAAAGCACATACTTTTGCTTAGAGAATCGAAAATGGGTAAAACTTTTGTTCCGGACTGGCTGCCACATCTCAAAGGTGTCCTATATCTTCTGTACCATAAAATATTTTTTTAATGTTTAAGGACATAAATTAAATTTTCAGAAGCTGGAAAAAATTCTATAAAAAAAATTTCAAGGTTTCGAAAAATTTCTTTCGAAATTATCTAGTTAGAAAAAACTGAAAAAATAAAACCCGCGAAGAATTTGATTTTCCCTAAAGTTCGAATACTTGGTATTTCGAAGGTACATAAAATACAGAATCAAGAACAGTATCTATTCGAAGCCCTTTGCTGCGCCTTTCAGAAACTGTTTGCTTGAAGTTCCTATCTTTTTCTGAACGAAAATTATAATCAAAAACATTTGGATAAATAAAAATTTTGTGAAAATTCGTTAAAAACCCTGGAATTCGGAAACTCTTAAGATTTGATACTCAGCCCGGAACAAAAGTTTTACTCATTTTCGAACCCCTAACTAATAGTATATGTTGTTGTATATATATCAGACTCAGCCTGTATACATATACATATTTTACTTTTCGTAATTTCAAGCACACTTATAACAATTTAAGGAACCTAAACTGACAAACTGAAAAAAAAAGTTTTTGCCTTAAATTAACATTCTTATGTAAATTTTCTTTTAAGTGGTTAAAAAATGCAAAATATAAAAAAAAATGTACCATTTTATTTTATTGGGTGAGAAACTTTACTACACCTATATCTAACCTAAATCTTGTATTCGTATATTCTATAACATCAAAACCTATTATACTAGAAAGAAAACTCAATATACAATCCTTATGAAACATATACATACATACATACATGTGTGAATACTAAAATGCAAATAAGTAGAATACAATCGTTTATTTTAGACAAAAATTTTAGACAAAATTGAAAATGGAAGCACAAAAAAAAAGAGAATATTTCAAATTCAACAAGTTGCTCTTTTTTCGTTTGCCAAATCAACATGAATCAACAGACAACAAACTCAACATTATAATGCATATTACACCCAAACATATACATATCTATGTATGTATATTTGTGTTCATGAGTAAATTCTATTTTTTACTTAAACTCAAGAAGAAGCATTCCTAAATAAAATTCATATGTAAAACACGTTTTATTGAAAATAAAATAAAGTTTATTAAAAAAATTTAAAGAAAAAACTTTTCTTGAACTACATTTACTATTGTTACATGCATATAATGTAGGTGCATATGTATGTACGTATATAATTCTGTAAAATACAGTTTATACCAATCTACATACATACTGCAACTCTTTGAGTTTTTATAGGGCAAAAAAAAAAGATTGGCATTTTAATTTTCTTTATAAATGGCATTTTAATGAAAAATTCAAGTGATAAAGTGACTCGAGCCAAAATAGATAAATAAATTGTAATTTTTAAATTGAATTATTTTCTTCAAAAACTAAAATATTTTTTATACGGTTGAGAAGTTTATAAAAACAAAATTTTAGAAAATTTGCATATCAATGAGCAATATCTGGAAAACTTTTTAAAAAAAACTTTAAAAAAATTTTCCAGTATTCAAGTTTACCTTTATCACATGTTGCCCAGTTGCCAGTTTGTTTACAACTTTTCTTATATATGTCAGAGAGTTATTAAATTTTTTTGATGTTGCAGAATTATAGATTGGGACTCTTAATCCTGATGGTCAAGCTTACACTAATTAGCTCGGAGTTATCAGCAATATCAGCTCGGAGTTATCAATATTGCGAATAAGTAATTTTAACATTATAAAATTACGTCACAACAGTGCATATATCGCTCCTACAATATTGTCCTTCCAAAAAACTGAAAGTAAAAATACACGGTTTATGAGATATTTGTATCTGAAATCTCACAAGTATTTTTCTTAAAAAGCGGATATTGTTATGTTTTATTTCATAAACCCATTGGTTTATTATTGATCCCAATTAGATTATACGCTAACGCCAAGTTAAATAAATAACCGCAATATGTATAGCTATATAAACATAGGAATACCGCAAAATATAGTAAGATCGTAATATATACTTTACAACTGCATTAAAATTTTAGAATTCTGCATTAGAAGTTTTTTTAATTTTTTTACTTTTTTATATGGATCATAAAATTTCCTCATATCTTCTCTATCGTACTCTGTTCCGAAGTATATACCACTTGTTGTAACACATACCAAAACAGTGTGATAAACCTGCAGTTTTCGTATTCGGCTAAACTATCCTCATATTTCTCTTCTTGTATATATAAACGTACGCATTTGAAACACTTTCTTCATGACATATATGCTCTCCAAAATAGGCCTTAAAGTCGTTGTTCCTCATTTTTTTCCCGAATTTTAACTGGGATGGCATTCAATCTTCCCGCCTTGTTATTCCCGAGTTTCCTGACGTTTCTTTGATTTTACTTTTTGTTGGAGGTTTTTAATTGTTTGATCTTTTATGTGAAATTTAATAGAAGTAAAGATTAGGTTCTATAATTTTCGTAATCAAACCCCTTGTCTTACTTTTTAATTTTCATTTAAAAATTTAAGTTTAAAGCCCGATTAGATTTTAAATTTTTAATAATTTTTTTTTTCTTTTATTTCATAGGTATGCGAATATTAGTCATGTTATTACTTGATACATTGCCAATGTTGGGTAATGTTCTTTTGTTATGTTTCTTCGTATTTTTTATTTTTGGTATCGTTGGAGTTCAACTTTGGGAAGGCATATTAAGACAAAGATGTGTACTAGATCTTCCATCAAATGTTATAGCACCAAAGTAAGTAAACATATATTGATGAATAATATTAAAAATATAAATTTATTTTATTATTTTTTTTCTTTTTTGATGATGAAATAATAATTAAAATGTAACAATAATTTTCGCAATTTATAGGTACAAAACATAGTATTCTACTGTTTCGATTTCTTTTAATTTTTTTTATTTAAAGTAATTTAATTCAATTTTAAACAAACTATGGACTTTCTTATATGCAAAACTCTGAAAATTTCTGTGCCTTTACACAATATACTGCCGAGAAATCAAATTTTAAGTAAATTAGGTTTAAAATTTGGGATATTAGAAAATAAAATCATTATTTTTACAATTTTCGGCCTTCTTTGCTGTGGAAAACGCTACCTTTCTAGTTATTTTAACAAAAGATTAAGAGATTCATTTAGTTCACATAAAAACAGGTGAAAAAGAAAAATTTTGGAAACTTATGCGAATATGAAACGCAAATCGAAACAGAAGAATTAAAACTATGTCGAAAGCTCGTCAACTTTACTTTCTTTTAGTTACATTTTTTTAATTTCTCTATCACGATTTACGATATTTTTTACGATAATTTTAATTTTTCGTTATCATCAAAATGCTTTTTTTTCTATCGAAATTAAAATTTAAAAAATTTACCAATTTAAATATAAAATAAAATAAATAAAATTTTCTATTTGAATTAAACAAGGGAATTCAAGAAAAAAAATTTAAAAAAAAAAAAATAAAAAATTAATTAATTTTTAATTTATTAATAATTTTTTTTTTCATAATTTTTATTTAAAATTTAATTTATTTTTAGATAATTTTCAGGTCTACAATAAAAGGTTTTTGTTTTTTTTTTAGAACTTTTAAAATATTTTTTTGTTAATCTTCCGTTTTATGAAAGTTTTGTTCTTTATTGATATTTTTTTCATTTAGGAATTTTAAATAAAAATTTTCTTTTTATAATTTTAATTATTCGAAATCTGTTATATTATTTTCTTTCCTTTTAATTTACTATTTTCCACATATAAAGGATATTTACTTTAGCATTCACTTCACCACTTTTAGAACAATAGATTTTATTTTGAACAAGAGAAACAACGGTTCACCTTTAAAACAATTAAAATTTTTTGTACACACGAGTGAAAGGCTTGAAAATATTAATGTTCATTTCAAATTATTTAATGATTTTCATTTTCAATGTCCTACTTTTCTTTTTTAGAAAATTTTTCAACATTTAAATCTTTGTTTCATTGTTTCACTATGTTTTTCCTTTTTTTTTGTTTATAATATGGCAATGATTTTAAATATTTATTATATATACATATGTATGTATAGTAATTAAAATTAAAATAAACCAAAAAACTATAATATCAGACTTTTAATTTTAAAAGAAAGAGTAAAAAATTTTTTAATTGCATCCCACATAATTAAAATCAATTCAACTTTATTTTGTTGAATGCATTTCTTAAAATGAAATGGACTCACAAACAACACTGGGTACTTGTATATTTGCCCACCAGAAAGTGTAATTTGCGTTTTTATTAACTTCCTAACATTACAAATATCTGCAATCGAATATTTTTTCTCGGTTTAAGTTAACCGGCTGTTTTAAACCCTTATGAACTTTGAGACGGGATTGACCATCATAGTCCGCTTATCCTCGCTCTCAAATAATTTTGCAACGATATTTTCTATTTTTGCGGTTCCTACTCCTATCTCCCTGTTATATTTCACCTATATTGCATTCGAAAAGGATTTCGGTATTCTTCTTAAAGCAGGCTTAAAAATAAACTAAGGTCAATGAATGATGTTCGTGTTGAGATAGGTTAATGATTTGCGTAATTAGTAATGTCTATTTTTTTGTGTCTGCGATTACTTCTTCTATGTTTATTCCTAAATTTGTCTAATAGAATTATGCTCTGTAATCAGTACTGACTGATTGAATTTGCTGCAAAAAGTTAAATGTTTTATCTAGACACATTACTGCTTTCTTTGCGTGTCTCTTATGTATCCGCGAGAGATGATAATTTTCCTCGGATTCTACTGTTTTTTTTTTCGCGATACTTTGTTCGATTTGGTTTTGTTCTTATGCTATTTTCTACGCTTTGTAATTGCTGCGAATTGAATATATTTGCTGTATATTTGTTTGAATATTTTTAGGCACTGCCAATATATCAGGCATATTAATAAATTATTGTAGCATTCAGATGACGCACTTAACTTGAGGTGCTGTGCGATACCCCTTTTAGCTTTTGGTTTGGAAAATATTGTCATACAGATACAATATTACTAAAGAATTATGTCGAAGATAGTTAGATATTTAAGATATTTTTAAAACAATTAACAATCGAGGGATTCAACATTGAAACTTGGAAAAAATTAAAAAAATAATGTAAATATATAATAATATAAATATGTTTAATAAATATAATTCTGGACAATAATAAAAAACTTCAGTTTTTAAAATTATTCATTCGATTTATTAATTTACCATTAGATACAATAAAATATTAGTTTGGTTGCACTTCTACATATAAATCATGCCGTTTATTTGGAAGAAGCTCCAAAATAAATCTAAGTCAGATTAACTTTGAATATTTACAAATTCAAAATAAATTTAAAATCATTGCCATAAATTTTCACTTTAGATTGAGGACAGGTAACCAGACAAGAGAGCTAAGGAATCTGTTCTACTAAAATTTAAAAATTTAATTGAAATGTTTTATAAAACAAGATTTTTTTTAATTTTTCAAGTAATACTTCACGTTTATTAACATAACTCTATAAAAAACTACAATTAACTCTTCAATTTAACAAAAAACAATACAAAATACAACACTTAAGCAATTTAACAATTATTTTACATTTAATTTTATTTACATTTAATAAAATTATAAGTATGTATTGTCACAAAACAAATAGAAAAAATAGACTTGTTGCTGAAAATACACAACCAACAAACATTCGTCTTTGCTTCTAGCCACTTTTATACTGCACCCTTTTGACATATTATGTATTATATTCCTCAAGTACATACATATTTCTCTCAAATTCAATTTCTCATTACTTACTAGTAATGAGAATTTTGAATATGCAGTTATTTTATTCGATTCGTACAAGGTTAGTTGTTTGTGTTCAGTATCGTTTTCGTAATATGGTTTGCACGAATGCTCCATATACATTCGCATTTATTATAATATCAGTTATAAAATTTAAAATTAGAGTTTTGTTTACGTAATTATTCAATTTGTATATATAAATATACGCCAATCAAGATAAAGTTGTCACATATAATACATATTTAGATCAGTATATTTACATACGATATACGCACATTAAATCCACAAGATTTTTAAATCTTATTTTCTTTCAATTCATCTTTTATTTTGAGTAAGCTTGAAAGAAAATAATATACAACAGCTTTAGCACGGAACGAAACTGCAACAATTGTCCAATGGGACAGATCTGAATATCTTTATTTTTGTATTCTTACCTATCAAAGACATTAGAAATTTTACAATGTTTTTACTTAAAATCAAAAAATGTTTACAATAACAAATAAATTGCAATTCTATTTAAATTTTTACATAACATTTATTCTTTTTCAAACAAAAATTTTAACCTGTTTCTGATTAGTGAAGTTGAACTCATTCGAAAAAATTATAGCTTGTGACGTAAAAGTTTCAGTGCTACAACCGTGAAAACACGTTACGACGAATGTAGCACTGAAATATCAGAAACTCACACCTCCTTATTTTATTCACATAAAATATTAGTTCAGAGTCTATTATTTCAAAGAGGTATCGTTATGAAACCAAACTTGAAACGTACATTGTACAAAAGAGTAAATACCAATATTTCAAGAAATTGCGAATTTTTGATCCTAAAAATATCGAATTTCTGTTGGACAATTGATCTAAGCAATAGTCTAATATAGATTTGTACTCATTATCGAATCGGCCGATATAATACATTTTGATTACTTTGTCATAGGGCTATTCATATTATATTTAGAAATTATTTTATCTCAGCAAATCTATTATTTTTATTAATATACGTTAGATATTGCTACACTCTTCTCTTATTTTTCTCTTTTTTAAATTATATAAAATCATTTACAGACATCTATACATATATACAAAGCATATGTACATATTTCATTTTCCTTTTTAAATCTTTTCATTGTTTTCATTTTTATTTTTTATATTTTTAATATTTTTCAGAATTTTTCATTTTCATTAGCCTTTCGCTTCATTAACATTTTATAAAAATTTTTGTTTCTTCTATTATTTCGAATCCAATTGTTATTTAAACCTACATTCATGTATACATATATATATAAAAAAAATCATGATATGTATGTATATATCATTAAAAAAATTATGTTATATAATATTTTTAATTTTGTTCTTCAATTTTAAAACAAAATTTCTCACATTCTTAGAATGAAAAAAAAATATTTTGTTTTCAAAGAGTAAAGTAGTAAAAATTTAAAATCCCGCTTTCAAAGCAATAAGACGATCTGGGGCCTAAATATCACAAAATGTAGGAAGAAGAAACCAATCACCTTTTCTTGTTTTATCCAAAAGAAAAAAAATCCTTAATTATTTATTTTCTTGAGTGTATAATAATTTAACTTGTAAAATCTTCCAGCGTATAGGGTCTTTATACTATTTTTTAATTATTTTTTGTATATTTTATAAATTTATTAAATCTCAATACTTGTTTACACACACAATTTTTTTTATGATTAAATTACAATTTTGTTGTTTAAATTTTAATTTTTTTTTATTTAATTTAAATTAATTTTATTTATTTATACATAAACATAAAACATAAAAAAACACAAATCAAAAATAAAACTAATATTAAATAAACATAAAAAAATCTAAAACCTAAAAAAAAAAGAAACATAAATAATTTAATTTGACATTAAATAAACATTTTTTTACACTGAAAAAAATAAAAAGTAAAAAACAAAAACAACAAGAAAAAAAAAACTAAAATACATTAAAATTTCAACAGAAAAATTAATCAAAAACCTTATACATTTAAAACAAAAAAAAAATTCGGGTTTTCTTGTTTTCAGGCCACTTCCAGATGAATACAGAGTTCGAGTCCGTGTAAATTCGTAAGATTCACACAGATTTTTTTTTTTTTAATTTTTTTTTTTCAAATTTGGTTTGAATTTTAATTTTATAATTTTATATGGTATATACTTAGTTGGATTTTTTTTTAATGAAATTATCCAAAAAAATACATGTAAAATTTATTTAAAACAAAAAATTATTTTTTATTATATTTTTATAAAGCAACATAATTATAACATTGAATAGTGTTTAACTATTTTTTTTTTTTGATTTTGATTTTGTACTAAAATATAAAAATTCATAATACTAATTAAAAAATTTATACTGCTATTATACTAAGTTTATAACAAAATTCATATATATATATAAATATATACCTAGCCATAATTTTATTTTTGATTTTGAATTGAAATTTTATTATATATACATGAAATTATTTTTTTTTTTAACAATATTAGCTCAGTGTTTTACAAAATTAGATGATAAATTTATTTATTTATTTATTTATATACAAAAATCGCATTTTACTTATAAATATTAAATTAAAAACAAAAATGTTTTTTTTTTCTGTTTTTTTTTTTTTTGATTTTTGTAAAGCTCCACCTTTCTATATAATAATATATGTGATTTATTTCAATTTTATATAAGGAATTTAAATCTTTTCTATCTCTTTATATCATAAATAAGGAAATCTGAACTTCTCTTGTATAACTTGTATAAAATAATTGAAATTTTTAAAGAAAGCAAAAACCTATAACCCTACCAGTCTATCAATTATTCATTTCAGATCTATTAACAGTAAAAAAATAAATATATATATATTAAATTTGATGTTCAGTTAAGTTGAAAATTGAAATTTTTAAGCACATAATTATTAAATATCTATATATATATATATATATATATATATATATATATAGTTAAATATAATTATAACATTCTATATGTAAATATATATGTTAGAAAAATTATTAATTAATTATATTATACGTGTACATAATTATATTTAAATTATAATATTATTGTATACAATAAATATTATATTTCCCTATACTTAATTTCATGTTCCTCCCTTTATTTTTATAATCATAAATTTATAAAACTTGTAATATTATTGTTCATATACGCAGTATTATGTAAAATTTAAACAACAAAATATCAACAATCACTATTAGATCAAAAAATATGTAGTTTATGAGTATTATTCTTAGAGAATACGTTGAAATGTATTGAAGGTATAAGAGAAAAACAGTTTTTGTACTACAACTAACAAAGTCAATAAGTGATTTCTTAATTGGGAGCATATTATATTTCGTAATAAAATTTTTAGTTAATTATTTAATTAGTTAATAACGGCAACTCCTACCAGTAATATTTAAATATGATATATCATATGTATAACATATAACTGTTCTATAAAATGGTTGTAATCTTCTAACTTGTACATTTATTATGATATGGAAAAAACAAAATACTTGTTAAAATTTTACTAAATAACGATAATCAAATGAGTACTGTGGAAAAATTTTGCAAGCCATAATTCATAGTGAAATTTTTTAAATAATTTATTTCTTTTCATTATTAATATTTTGTATTCGTTTTTGAAACTCTTTTGGCACAAGCCTTATTTAAATTCTGAAATTTTTCTGCGTTGTTCCAATTCTTAATTGAATATTAGCATTTTCTTTTACTTTCATTTTTGGAAGGAAAATATTTTTTATAGTATTTTAGCTAAACTTCACATAATTTTTGTTTTATAACTTAAAGACTTTTGTTCACTTTCAAACATGTCTTTTAATACTTAATTGAAAAAATTAAACTTAAGATTCAAATAACATTAAAACTTCTTCAGATTACTGACGTTTTCGAAAAGTATGCTTGATAACAGTTGACTAAGATACGTAAATCTTCTTTAAAATAAAAAGTAAAGATTATTTTTATATTTCAAAATAACTTCAGCATTTAAATGAATTTATTCGACAATTACTCGTGTAGAATAATAAATCAAACAAAATACAAATTTGCTATAAAAACAAAGAAATCACTTTCGTTTAAATGATTGATTAAATTTTGTTGTTTAAATTTCGCATGACGCTGCACTTATATAATATCTACAATAGACTCTCACTCTATATACTATATTTATAATTCAGTCTCTCTGAATACCTGACCACCCTTTATCATTTAAAAACTATGGACTTTTAATTGTTTATTTTCACTCAAAGTTGAAAATTTATTTTAATTTTTTTTTTATTTAAGTTTATTCGTATATTTTTTGTAAAGTCTCAAGATTATAAAAATTTGAACGACTTACTTTAAAATATTCTAGAAGGTTAAGAATATAATATAGATTCACTAAATAGTTTTATCCAAATTCCCCTAATAATGCTATAAATAAATATAAAAAATAATCTAATTTTTTTTCTTCTTTTTCCTGCAATAGTCCAAATTTCTACTTGAATCTTAAGTTCATAACATTTTTTAATAAATATAAATGAAAGAGTGAGACCTCTTATTACATCATAATCTTTTCATGCCTAGTCTTTATATCACATGATAGACTATGAAGAATCAAAATATTCTCGTTCCTTTTCACGCGATGAAATATTTAAGAGGTCAAAAAGAATCTTCAAAGAAAAAATTTTATGCAATTATATCTTTAATGTCAAATTTAAACGAAACTTGCCTTTCAAATGTGCTGTACAGCACTATATTTGTAATTTGTACACATAACAAATATGTACATGAAAGATATGTACAAGATGAAAACTTGTCTTGAAATTCAACAACTCCTTGTATTATAAAAAAACCAATTTATGTAGGTCATTATTAAAAATTTTCTCATTTATGCAAAACTTTGACACCTCAATCATAGTATAAAAATGAGAGTATTTTTTTTAATTTTTTCATAAATCAAATCAGATCAAATCCAAAAAATTATGTATTCATGCCCATTTCTAAATTTCACCCCGAAATATTTTACACAAAAAAAGCATTTTCCATTTAAATCGTAATTCATTAAGTAATCAAAATATATACAATTTGAGTCATATTATATAAGTAGTACACACATATAATACAAATATTTAAAAATAAAAAAGACAAAATTTATAAAATTTGCAATTTAAAATTCAAAACTTAATTTGAAATTTAGTTCATATAGTTACTTAAATGATTACATTTTTCTTAAAATTGTATCTGGAACCGATGAAGTAATAATTACTCCATGACCTCATCAATTAACTCATTTATTTATCATAATGCATTTTTACATGCCATTATTTTATTACTTATACATTATACTTGTTCAATATAACATAACAAACTTAATATAAAATTTATAAATATTCTTTATACATTAAAATGCAATTATTTATTTTAATTTATACAAAATAAAATTCGTTTCCGTTATAAATACTTACATAATGTATATCGAAATTTAAATTATCTAAACGAATACTTAAAAATAATAAAATAATCTCAATTTCTGAAAACAAATAAAACTTTTACCATTCAAGAACACGAACTGAATCCAATGATATTTCGTCATTTTCATATGAACACATTTAAATTGCATTCATTCATAATTCACAAATAAATATTTTAATTAAATTTGAAACAAAAAATTATCAAGCAATTTTGACAAAATACACATTTCAAAACCACTTAACGTAATCCACTATCGTTGATACAAAAAAGAACCTTAAATACTCGTATTAAAATTTCAAATACCGAATGCAAAGAAAAATATTATACAAATAGACACAAGAATTATTTTTAAGTTCTTATTTTAGGTTTGATTACAATTTTGTGATTTTTGTTAAAATTATGTTAAATTTTTTTATTTTAATTTTTCTTGTTTCAGAAAGAAAAATTTTTGCTTTTTTTTCTTTGTTTTGTCAAATTATTTTTATTACAAAATATTTATTTTCCACTTTTTTAATTGTAATCCTTTAAAAAAATTTTTAGTTACCCAATTTTTTTTGCGAATGTGCTGCGCTAATAGAAAGTTAAAGCGTTTTTACAATGAAATATTCTTATGAACAAAAAAATATTTAAATTTAAAATTTATTAAAATAAAATCATTAATGAACAAAAACAATGTCTCCTTCGTATTCTTTCAATTTTAATCCAAATTAAATTAAAATTAATTTCAGTTGCCCAAAAATTAAATTTTAGTTTTAAACAATTTCGAATCATTAGGTAATATAAGGTAATAAAGTAAAATATAAGGTAAACATTATTATAAGATTAGTAACGTATGTATTATAGTAATATAATAGTAAATATGTGCGTCCCAAATTGACTGCAAATTTTTACATTGCAAGTTGGTTTGTTCATAGGAGATATATGCGAATTTATGTAAATTTTCGCAAAAAAAATTCACCATTAATGATTACGAGTACTATAAGATTTTCGGATACATTACATTTATACATAAAAAATAATTAAAGTTGAGTCAAACCAATAATCTGTAATGTAGAACTTTTCTCTTTAACAAATGAAAATACTGCTTTTAAAAACAGACTATGTACCTACTACATTATTAAAATTACTTTCATTCATATATGAATATATTTCAAAGATTGCATACATTTAAGATGAGACAGAAAAAAAATTAAAAGAAACGTTAACATAGTGGTTGAAATCAAGCGTTAATTTCGTGAACTTAGATAAATAATTATATTTTTTGGTAGCATTGCATTTACCGTTAGTTTTTTGCCTTCATATGAATTTGAAAGAGCTTGCAGTTTCGGAAATATAAAGTGTCAAAAATTCAAACTACAAATGTCCCACGAAAAGAGAATGGAGGTGGAAGAAAATTTTCTCGCAGCTGTTTAGTACTATCCCTGTTTAGTAATAAACAGTAGCTGCAAGAAAATCCCTGATAGAAATAAACTGTTTATTACTATCCCACAGCTGCTAAAATTTGAGACCACCACAACTTACAGTCTAAAAGAAAAACGATATCAAAAATTTGAAAAAAAAAAACCGACTTCAGATATCAGCTAATTTCAGCAGCCATTATGTCATTACCGTACCCTATATTAGAGGAAGGCAGATAGGTAAAAAATTTTCTTCTACAGAATTAAGTTTCTAGTAAAGACCCATTTGTATGTAAAATTTCATCTTGAAAGCTGTTTATCTTGAAGGGTGAAGTTTTGTAAACAGGTCCAAGGACGGACGAACAAAGTGAAAATAAAAAACAATTTTGTTATTAAAAAAGTTTTTCAAATTTTGAAACCAATTTAATAGTTAAATTTATTGCTTATATTATTTTGATTCAGGCAGCGTTTACAAATCAAGCAAAATTGGACAACTAAATCGTACAACTAATCGAATTAGTTTTTGAAACTATTTACAAATTAAATTTGATTTGATCAAATTTTCTGTCACTTTAATTGTTTTTTTATTGTTGTAATAAAAAACAAATAGAAACAAAAATCAGCCATTTTTAATTGTTTCAGCGGTAAAAAAATTGGATAGAAAATAGGACAAGGTTCTATTTTTTCATATGATTTAATTCATATGATTGGATTGGGTTTCAAATTTTGATTGTTTCAAACTAAATCGTACAATTTTTCTTGATTTGTAAACGCTACCTTAGCGTCGGATTTTAGATAGCGGCCTCGGAATTCATCAAAATAATACAATAACCCAAGCATATTTATAACAACAAAATGTTTGTTTAAATTTTCCGAGTGATTTGTAAAAACTTCCCTTCAAATCATAATAAATAATTTCTAGGAAACCAGCAGCTCTGTTATATGAGGAATAAAAATTTAAGCTTAAATCTAACTTACTGTTACAAGTGTAGGACAATAAACAGACTGTTATTTGAGTTTGTAACAAATATGAAATGATTTGAACGATCATATAATTATTAAGATTTTGTTAGAAGGCACCTTCTACATATTGCAATTAAAATTTGAAACTACTAGGTTCACAATTTTTTTACGTAGTTCTACTTTTTTGTTCAATGGTTTTTTAGAATAGAAAAGAATATAATCAATATAGCTAAGTAAAATAGATTATAATCTCACATATTATATAAAGTAAAACAGCTAGTACTTGCATATTCATTCAATGTGTAAATAACCTTACCATTAGTAAATAACATAGAAGTGCTGAAGAACATTCCACGAAAAGTATTTTATAACTACAAAAAATAAAGAAATTATAATGCAGCTTCCGAAAATGATTTTTAACAATCAATTTGGCTACTAACTACATTCCTAAATTAATTTATTTGTTCATATTATATTTCAGTAAAATTATTCAGTTTTACATTAATACAAAAAAGATTAAATAAACCTTATATATTCCTGCGAGAAGAAGGAGAACAAAATTATATAAAAAATTAATACAAATTACTTTTATGTTATCGTTAAACCTTTAGTTATCGTAATTTGAATTTTTTATTTTAAAAATTAAAACCAAAAATTGGAAAAATTAAAATCAATCCAATTAAACAAAAAACAAATTGAAAATAAAAATTTGAAATTGAAATCAGCATAGAGAAATGCAGTTCTTGTGACATACCTCTCTTCAGTTTCCTTAAAATTTAAGAAAATAGCTATAAATTAGTTACAATGTCTTAATTATAAAAACTGTTTTACAATTATAGCTATACCAGTTCTTATATTGGTATATCAATGCCACGTAAACCATTCAATTCCACAAACAGCGACAGAAAAAAAATAAGAACAAGTAAAAACGCTTCCCTGCACTTTGAGAATCTGAGTATAAAGATTTGTTTTGAGAATTTTGAAATTGCTTTCGCGATTGTATGGCCATGTCGAACCTGTCAGACCATTAAACAAAAACTTCACTTATACCCCTAACCTATAATTGGACACATAACTGCCAAATCTCATGGCAGTTATGTGTCCAATTATAGTCCTCATCTCCAAACTTTATTATTTTGAAATATCGAATATTTGAAATTGGCTTTGGAATTGTGTGGCAGCTATCAGAACCAGTGAAATCATTCCATTGAAATTTTTAGAGCACATGTAATTGAACACAAATATACAAAATTTCATATTTATATCTTTATTAGTTCTTCAAATATTTGAAATAAACTATTTAAATTGTATGGCAGCTACCCGAACCCAATAACTATTGGGTCCGTCCTCGGCACAAAAGAAGCAACTTATTGGCCATATTTGGTTTAATTTATTTTTGAGTTATCGTGTAATTGGAGAGACGGACGAACGACGGATAAACAATGTCTAAACAACGCAGAATTTTACGCTGAGCTAGAATATATATGTACGTCCATACCGAAGACGATTCCTTCAAGTGGTTACAAACTACATAACAAAGTTAATATACCCTTCACGAAGGTGCAGGGTATCAGAAGACTCAAAAATATTTTCCTCAAATATTGAAAAATCACCAAAATATGGTTTTAATATTCAAATATTTTCCTTATAAATATTTTTAATTAACTCTTCCTCAACCAAAAAAAAAACAATGATTAATTTACATGACGAAAGAAACAAAAAAAAAAATACAACAATCAAAAGGGATGAATATCAATTAAAATTTTTAATAACATTTACAATAATGACGGCAGTTAAAATATAACTTTATTGTAATGGAGTTTGAAAAAAAAGGAAAACAGAAGTCCTTTTTATTTTTCATATTTGTAAAGCGGGTATTGTTTTCATATTCATTTTAACAAGTTACGCTTAACGTATACTTAACGTTTTCTATTTGGTTAAGAAAGTTTTACGAATTTCAACTACACTTTTCAAGAATTTATCTAATGGAATGTAAATAGGTACCTACATACCTAGGTCCTTAAGTACAGTCTCTTTACTCTTTGAAAATAAATGATATCCTTACTTAATACAGCTCTTCAATATTCAGTGAATTTTTGAAAATCGGTTATGTTCTGACCATATCACACTCTTTTTGTTTTTCAAAAGTTTTTCGCCTTTCTTTGACTTTGTTTTTTATATCATATTTTTTTTATGCCTTAATATTCCTAGAAAATATTCGCTGATAATTTTAGTATCATTATTAAAGAGTTTATTAGATGATTTTTATGAGTTTGCTTTTAAAAATTACAAGGTTGAGGGAACGGAAAAAATAAGAAAGGATAACAAGTAAATAAAATGAGATATAAAATCAATTAAGGACTTACAAAATTTAAAATGCGTAATTTTTGGCATTCAAATTTAAATAAAGAGAATTGAATGAATGAGACAAGCATATTATTAAAATGAGTGGGCATAAACATAATTTATTATTCAAACGTTTAACGTTATTGTATAAACGTAACGTTAAAGGTCAGATTTCCATTTTGTCATATTTCACATAGTCTCATTTTAATTATTTTTATTATATAAGTAATTTATCATGTGAATTTAGAACTCCGTGGATAACACACTGATTTAGAGCATTTTTTCGTAATATTTGGAAGACTTGTAACAACTGCAAGTGCTGGATATTTATTTTAAGTACTTTTAATGATTTCAATTTCAAATAAATATTATAAAACAGTTTAATAAAACACGAAAAAGAATCAAAACCATCAAAAATTCATTTTATTATTATTATTTATTGGAATTATCATTCAATTCAATTTAATTTTATTTAATTATACGCAATTAATTTCTATATTTTATTTAATTTTATTTTTACTTATATGATTTGAAGAATGATTTTGCTATTTTCTTGAAACATTAATTTCCTCTATAGAAATTTTGAAAAATAAAAAAATAATATTAAATAAAAAATTGTAAATTGATTAAAGTGTGGTGTGCCTTTTTGCATTGTTGTGTGTGTAGTTTTTATTAATATAAATACATTAAATGAATGTATTTGTATGTTTTTTTATTGTTATCAAAAATAAATATATACATATATATATATACATAAATTTTATTGAAATAATAAAAAAAAAATAAACATTGAAATTGAATTTATTACAAAAATATTAATAAATTAATTTTATTTTTTGTTTTCTTTTAATTCTTTTTATAAAAAAAAAATCTATAATAAATAAAATGCCAAACAAAATCTAAATTGTATAACAAACGTGTAGCGTGTCATTTTATTATGAGTTTTCCAAAGAACAGGATTACATTTGTTCAAAACCAGAAGACTCAGGTATGCATCTATGTACAGATCTACCACCATATCGTGAAGGGCGAATGGTTTGTAATGGTAAGAAATCTAAAAAAGAAATTTTTGTTTTAAATATTTTTATTTTGTTTATCTATGAAAAAAATTTAAAATTATTTAAAATTAAACTATAACTCAATAATTACTGGATAGCTGTTATTTATTAGAACAACAGTCGGGTCAAATTGTGTTTTCCCTTCAATAAGTGAAAATTATTAAGAGCATAAACTTTTATTTGAAAATTCTGCTCTTAATAAACTATTGTCTTTTTTAAATTACTTTCCCTCATAAACCAAATTTCAAATTATTGCATACTTTTAGGATGATACAAAAGAAAATTAAAAAGTCCTTTATGTAATGGTCGAATTCAAGGGTTTATTGCATGAGTTAGGATAAAATAATTTTATTTTTTGATGGCATGACATTTACCGTTAGCTTTCTGCATTTCTTCATAGATATTTGGAATAGCTTGTAGTTTCGAAAATATAATGTGCCGAAAGTTAAATTTTACGAGCGGCGATCACTTGAAAAGAGACGAAAATGGAAAAAATTTTTTTTAACAAACTAAACTATTTATTGCTATTTATAAAAACTAAAAGAAAGAACGGATATTACTTTCCGTTTCAAGTATTTCCATGTTCAAGTACAATATGCCGCAGTAAAAGAAGTACTCTTCACTACTTTTTTGATTTGTACAATTAAAAATATTTCTTTATTTTTGTAACAATAAATAAATTGTTAAAAAAAGCATTTTTATAGGAATTTGGTGTTCTAGAACTTTTAGAGTAAGTGAGATAAGTTAGAAAATTTTGTTGTGAAAAAAATTGCAGAGTGAAACTAGTAAACACTTTTTTTTTCAAATGCAATAGGTTTAAATAATCCAAAAAATTATTAAAATGAAAAAAAAATTTTGACCAACATTTTTTCATTGTATAAAATATTGGCATCCCGCAGTGGTGTGAGGTTAAAAGCCCCTGACAGTTCTGGAGAATATTGTTGGTATGTCGGTACTTTTATTTTATGTCAACATCACAATTTAATTACATAAGTTAATTAATAAATGTTAACCACCATTAATAAATATTAGTAGTAGCATAGTTTGTCAAATTATTTTAATATTTCCGAAAGTGAAATATGTTGTATGGTTCCGAAGTTATAAGCATTTATTTATATGCAGGAAAACTCTGGTACGTTTTTTTTAACAGGCTGTAGCTCGAAAACATGTATATCTGCACCACCACCACCCCCTTGCAATTATTTACTTGAAATTGATTAAAGAATCATCCCTGAAATTATTTTCCACCTTATGCGAACCACCCTGTATATGTTCTAAAACTAATTATCAAATATAGTTATCCAAGTTCTCTTACTTTCAATTTGTATCACTTGATAAATAAATGTTTAATTATAATAAATGTAAATTGCTTTAATTAGAGAAATATAAATGTATTACAATTAATTGGTCTTGAAGTTCTTCCGAACAATAATACTTGAAATAATTAGTTATAGAAAAAGAACGGTAAACATCATAATTTTTAGGGCGTGAATAGGTCCTTTATATCTTTATAATTTTAGAAACCGTTACTTCCCTTTTCTTTACTTTAAACATTTTTACTTTTCATTTTTTTACTTTTTCTATCAACGAAAAAGGAAAGTAAAATATATCCTGACTTCGTTTGCAGAATGTCAATGATCCTAATTATATTCAAAATACCGAATTTCAATTTTGTTTACATCCTTGTTTTTATTATTTTTTCTTTTCATCTTTTCTTTCTCTTTTTTACATAAATCTTCTTTGTTTACTACGAATATTTGTATTGTTTTTTAATCCTCTTTAACCGTTAAAAAAGATCCATAAAAATCTTTTCCATTTTCTGTTTCCATAACGCACAAAAAAGAACCATAAATATTATTGTTGAAAAAAAAATTAAATATTCCTAGACATTATAAGAGACTAGCAATCATCAGACATGATAATTTCCATGTTTTTATCCTTATAAGAAAATATGAAGTGAAAATTTTAATATGACGTGTGTGTGTGTATATTAAGTTTTATTCTTAAATAAAATTAACATAAAAAATTGAAATTTTAATTTTTTCCTTCAGACCGGACTAAACCAATATTGAATAATTTATTCCAACTCTAACTTTCGAAATTTTAATTCTTTTTTGAAAAATGAATAAAAAAAGAAATTCTATTCAATTTTTTCTACAGTATAATGACAATGTATGTATGTAATTCTATATTTAAATCTTCCTACATCTCTATTTCAATAATAAAAATTAATGTTTTATACCTACACAAAGTCGGGTATTATTGAACTTACCGGTATTGTCAGAATCCATAAGTAAATTTCAATTAATGTTCGATAATAAGTAAATTTCGAAGCTCGTGCGGAAAAGGAAAAAACAACGCCGCAATATCAAAACAACTAAAATGAAATTACAATAGAATTAGAATAACTATTCTTAGAGCGATATGCAAATCATATGAAACCCTAAAGAAAATAAATATGTCAATAATTTACGGTTAAACATGCATAAACAACTCCCAAACAAAATTTTTAGGATCCAATAAAATTTTTTAATTTTGTGCCCGTATTAGTGATTTTAAAATTAGATGATCACACCAAATACATCTTAATCGTATGTATACACGAATTTTCTTCTTAAAAATTTTTAAATACTATGTCGAAGAGGAGTTTAAGCACAGAATTTGATTGTTATATTCCTAATTTGGCAATCAACTTCTAAGTTTTTTTCTTCATTATACATGTACCCTCAATTATTAGCATTATATTTTCTTTTTGTCTATATATTTCCAAACAAAGCCAAGGTACCTATTAAAATAAATTATTGTAAGTTACTACGTTACATTCATATTTATATCTACTCATAACGTATGTTTTTATTATAGAGTTTCTTCTGTTTTGTTGAATGTATGTGATATATTCAATAATATTCTGCGGCCAAATAAAGTTCATAAAATTATATTTACACAAAAGAAGAAGAAATAAAAAATTTAAGAGAATAAGAAAGCAGTTATTGTTACTGCATATAAAATTCTGTTAAAAAATTGACTCGTTTCCTTGAAAAAATTATTTGAAGGAAATTATGTGTTAAGCAACTACATTAAGTTGTACGACTCGAGTTATTGTAAATAAATATTGTAATATACACACTGCTTATTTGAAAGTTCTTTTCCCTTTACACACAAAATGTAAGTATGAATTTATTTTTAAGAAATAATTTAAAACAAGAACATTACTTTAATTTGAAACGAAGAAAAATAGAATTGACCGTGTCAACTCTGTGATACCCGTACGAATTCTTTATCATATGTGCGAGTAAAAATGCGATAGCTGACTATAGAACAGACTATGACTTTAAGTTGTCATATTACCATATTAATTAATGCAAAATTTCAGTACTGTGTGTTCAATATTTTCTATGTGAAACGAGTTAAGAAATTTTAATGATTTTTATCACACATAACAGGCCTAATAATACACTTGTTTTCACGAGATTTCTATATTATAGTTTCAATAATTTCTGAGATATAACCAAATAAGTTTAGAAGTTGTATGGCAGCTACTAGAAAGAGCAAAGCAATTTCAATGACTTTTATCAGACACATTGGTCCTGCTAATATATTCGCTTGTGTGAAATTTCAATATCACAGCTTTTATAGTTTCTGAGATATAACCAACTAACTTTTGAAGCTGTATGGCAGCTAGCCAAACCAGTACCCCGATCACATCCAATTTAAATGGGGTTCTGGAATCTACTATAATAAATCATTTGTAAAAATTTGGTGAACTTAGCTCAAGTAGTTTTTGTGTTACCGTTGGGAGGGACGGACGAACGGACAGATGGAGACATGGTTAGTGATGACATGGTTAAACTGACTTAGAAGGCTGATCATTATTTCTTAGCGTTACAAACGGTTAACATACGTTCGTACGACTATAACAAAACTTATATGCTCATTATTAATTAAATAAAGTTGGGTCAAATCAATGGTTTGTAAAGTAAGTTTCCTTTCAACAATTGAAAATAAAATCTAGCTATTAACATCCTACTTAAAAATAATATAGCTTTTACGTTATTTAGGTTAATTTCATTCATATACTGAAATATTTAAAGGATTGCATATACTTAGGATGAGATAAAAATAAAATTGAAAGATGCGCTAACATAATACTCGAGGTTTACTTTTTGTTAATGCGTGTGTTGAAAAAATATAATAAAAATATATAAGGTGCCAAAAATTCAAATTTTCCAAAATTCTAGAGGAGATAGCTTGAGAAGGGGTGGAGTTGGAAGAAAATTTTCTTGAAACGAAATAAAATATTTACAAATATATAAAAGCTGCTAATATTTCACAGGTTTTAGTATTTTAGCATAAATATTGCTTTTTGATATTTAATTACAAATAGAAAAGCGGTAGAAAAAAAACCCGAAACTACTTTTCTGCGTTTACAAATTTTGAAAAATATTTATTGTTTCTTTAAAATAAGTAGTCGAAAAATGACATTTTTGGGGGTATAACTTTTAGAGGGGGAAGATAGATAAAAATTTTCCTCTACGGAAATAAGTTTCTTGTAAATATCTTGTAAATAGAGCATGAAATATAAAGTTTTGTAAACGGGTCCGTAAGGACCGACGGACGGCCGAACGGACGGACGGAAAAAGTTAAACTTATAAGCACTTTATTTAAATATTGTTTTTTTGAAAAATTTCTAATAAACTTTTCTTAGATAATAGAAAAAAAGTTAATTTTTTTTATACAAATAAACGGTGACAAAGATCTTTGCTGATCGCAAAAGTTTCCAAATTGAAATTTGAGTTTGAGTTATAGGCGAGCTCGTATTAGTTAAGTGTGTGTTAATAATAAGTTAATAATAGATAGAGAATACCTAATTCATAGAAAATTTTCCTCTATATCACATTATTATTCTTTACAACTTAGAGCCAAAACAAAAAAAAATTGAATGATTTTAATAATCGACTTGTTGCATTTAACCATTACAAAATTTTTAAATTTTTCGATAAATGAAACTGTTGAAATATATACATAAATATGTGTATAATAAAATGTATAATTAATTAAACAAAATATATATAACTTGGTAATATAAATATATATATGTATATATATATATATATATATATATATATATATATATAATTTAATAATTATATTAATTAATTTTATATATATATATATGTATATATATATATATATATATATATATATATATATATATATATATATATATATATATATATATATATTAGCTTTGTTAATTAAGAACATATGTATGTATGTATACTCTTAATCAATACTTAAATCAATACTTAACCCACCATGCACAAAAATAAATATTTTGCATGCATTGACATTAAAAAAATTACGTGGGTGTTAATTTTTATTTTTTTTTTTTGTCTGTTTTCAGCTACCGCCCTCCCATTACCATCTTTAAATTATAAAACGAATGTATCTTGTGTTAACTGGAATCAATATTATACAAACTGTACACAATTGGGTGGTAATCCATTTCAGGGAACAATATCATTTGATAACATTGGTTTAGCATGGGTTGCGATATTTTTAGTAAGTAAATTAAAAAATAAAATTTAATTTATACGTATATTTTGTTTCATAATTTCCAACAAAATGGTAAGTGACATTCAAACAAAAAACTTGAAATTTAATTATAGTAAGAGATGTCATTTCCCAGCATTATGAAATTGAAACCTGAAAAACATTATATTTTTCTATTATGAAAGTTTTGACATTCATATTAATTTAAAAATAATTTATTAGAAGACATTCATAATTCGGCGACTTCTTTCGACATGTTTGTCAATGTTCTACTTTACCTAATTCCATTTTTTAAAAAAAAAATCCATCAATACTAATTACTAAGCTTCAAATTTTGCATATCGAGTTTTCGGTGGGAACGCACTTCTTCTTAGTAGGGAAACATAAATAAACTACTTTTAGAGAGATGTCGGTCTGTTTCGCCACGCGTGTATCTCAAGTTCGACTGAAGCGTTTTTATAAAATTTTATATGTAAGTTTATTTTGGCATTGGATTGGTAAAGTTTTGGGATATATCAGGCCTGGGGAACCTTTTAATGGGCGTTTTTTCCATTTTTGATCATTTTGAAAAAAAATATTCACCAAATTCACTTGAAATTTCATATATAAGCTTCATTCTTCATAACTTTTGGAAGAAATCAGGCGTTAGCATCTGGACGTTAACTACGGGCCAAATAAATATTTTTGCGTATATAAAGAGAAATAATCAAGCGATTTCATTGAAATTTAATATTTAAATTCGAGGTGTTAAAACAATAAATCTATAAATTTTTTGGAAAGATCAGAGCTCGGAAACTGATCTGAAGCAAATTTTACATTTTTTTACCATATCTACGGGACGAATTGATGGAATTTCTTGAAATTTAGCATTTGAGTTCTGATTGTTACCAGAAGTTACTGACGAACTTTTCGTATAATTCGGATTGCACAAAATGAAACTATTAAGAGCCACATTCGCATTTTTCTAGGTATATTAACTAAAAGCTTATTAGTGTCCTTAAAATTGTAAAAAAGTGTTCAAAGTGCATTTTCATAATCTTCAGGAATACTTTTACTAATCTAGACAATATACATTGCGATCGGTTATGACCATATCAGATTTTTTGTACTATTATCAACAGTTATTTTGCATCATAATATAATTTCAAAATGATTACTTCGTTTTAAGTATCTACATTCCCTTTTGATTAATATTTTGAGTACTTACTTGATTTACATATATTTGTATTTGCTAATAATAATCATATAATATAATTTTTTTTTTTTATAATAGGTAATATCTCTTGAAGGTTGGACAGATATTATGTACTATGTACAGGATGCACACAGTTTTTGGGATTGGATATATTTTGTTCTTTTAATTGTGGTAAGTTTTTAAAAGTTTTTCTGATTAAAAATAAAAAGTCTTATTTTACAAAATTAAATCATGGAGTACAGGATTGTATAGATGAACTCCTTAGAATTTTCAGTTTTGTTTGTAAGAAAGATGAGTGGGATCATAATTTTAAGGAAAGTTGGAAAACTACTAAATTAAACAAGCAATTAAAGCATCCGTACAGATTTCTTTTGTGATTTACTTACATATACATGAGAGTTTATAAATTTTTCTTTCAATATGTTTGTTATTTAAATTTTTTTGTACGAATTCCAAATATTTTATTTTCTGTTCCCAATTACAATCGTCTTTACTTCAAAAACGTTTATCGCAGCGGAAATGTTCTGATGTTTTAATAACAAAATGTATTTATAGGCCCCACTTTTTTAAATTTATATTTAATGGCATGCAAACATTCTTTACATAAAATGCAAATTATTTAAATTCTTCCTTTCCATTTTGATTTCAAAATGTGCACGTTGTCACATAATTTTCTTTTATATTACTTACATTGATAGGGTTACGTGTAATTTAAATGCTATCAAAATTTATATTATTTTTTAACCAGTGTTTTATTTTCTCATGAATTTATCCTTTGAATATTATTATTAATATTATATAAAAATATGTACTTGAAAAAGAGAAAAACAAAAAATTAACTTTCTTCTAAATCTTTTCAATATCACATAAAAAATCCTCAAATACATTATGTATACGTAGTAAGACAGAAAAGACGGAACAGGAGCCAAGTTGTTATACCAAATTATTAAGAAATATCAACAAAAAAATGGAAAAAAGGATAAAATAATACAATAAAACAAAAATTACAAAATAAAACACCAATTTTTCGGTTGTTTTCCAATTTCCAATTATTTTGATAAATACCAAAGAAAACAGAAATAAAATCCATATAAGAAAAACAAAAAATTGGATGAAGAATTCAAATTTGATTACTATTATAAGGGTAGATATAAAAAAAGTAAAGCGAAATGTAAACACAAAACAAAAATTCTTAAACAAAATCAAACAAAAATGAAGGGAACGCCAATATTCTCTTACACAAATAAAAGATTCAGAATGGCGCACAATATAACTCAATTTTCATATTTTAGTACACCTACTCTCTAATTGACGTTTACTTTTTTTTAATATCTTTACTTTAAAATTATTTGTAAGATTTTTCAATCCACAAAATACCCCCAATCGATCCCAATTTTCCACACGGAAAATTGGGATCGTAATTCAAGAAATCATAAATTGCCCTGGTACTTATTTTAAAATATTCGTAAAGCATTAGTATAAGAATTTTACTTATACGCATGTTTAAATAAATTGCGCAAATCGTAATTTCAAAAAAGTCTTCAACTCCTGAATAGTTTTTAAACACATTCTCGTAAAATTTGACAAATAAGCATTTCAAAATATTTGGTTTTTTTAGGATTTTTTTGTTTTCCTTTTTCACATTGGCTCATTTAACCGATGGGTCTTGAAGAGGGTTTTGATTTCAGGTTTTTAAATTATCAGTTTCTTGTTATAAATTATTTAATTTAATATTTAAATTTTGGGCGTAAAATTCATGTTCAGTGTAATTCAAAACGTGTATTTCCTCGCATATATTAGCAATCATATCATAACATACTTATATTTCAAATATTTGATTATTAGCTGAGATTTTTTTTATTTATGTCTACATATCGAAATCTTTATTTTTTTCAACGATTGTTTATTTTAGACTTCGTTCATTATAAGATACCTACATATAATGTGGTATTGTCGCTGGGTAAGAGAAATCGCTATTTCTGGTTTCTTATGAATTATTTTTTAAAATCAACTTGCTGGAAAATTTCCTTAAGGAAAAATATTACAATTTTCATCTTTAATTACTTGGTGGCCGAAAAGACTTAGGCTGTTGTGATTTGATTTTATGTCGATCCCCGCCAATATGAAATTCTAAATTTTCAATTATTTTATGAATTTCCAAATTAATTTGCGAACATTTAGGAACTACACAAAAGACCATACTTTAGAAAGTGTTCAAAATCTTCTACTTCAAGTTATTTTGCATGTTAAAAAACTTGAATCTTACATGTTATAATAATTATTTGTATATTCAGTAAAAGCTGATTGCATAATAAAACATCACTACCTGCTATAGAACCATTTTGCTTGCGATATCACTCGTATTCCTTATCTGCAAACATTTATGTTCTTAATACTTTTTTCATATTTTAAAAACAATTTCATCATTAAACAAATCAAAATTTAAATTCTTTAATATATTTCAGATTGGCTCATTTTTTATGATCAATTTATGCTTAGTTGTTATTGCAACACAATTCTCTGAAACAAAAAAACGTGAAATGGAACGTATGAGACAAGAGCGTGCTAGATATACTTCATCATCTACATTGGCATCAAGTACAAATAATTCTGAACCTGCAACATGTTATGCTGAAATTGTGAAATATATTGCACATCTATGGCGAAGGCTTAAAAGGCGACTGATTAAGAAGTACAGATTATATAAGTATGCCGTGTTGTTTTATTTTCAGTTCAGTTATGTTTTTAGTTTTATTTTCCTTTTTCAAAAAAGAAGAAAAAAACTATACATTAACAACAAACAAAACAATAAAAGTATACAGACCTTAAATCTTCTAAATATCTTTCTATATTACAACACCTCTATATATAATTAAAAACAATAAAAATAACTAAAGAAAAAAAAGTTAATTTAGGACTTCTGCATCTTTCATAATCTTTCAACACTCTGCCTGCATAAGTTCTAATTTTCTATTCTATATTAAAACTAAATGTCCACATACATTTCGATGTAAATTTAATTTCGTGTTTGAAATCTTTTAAAGCAAAAATTTGTTTGGCATATCCAATATTCTTTCACACTTTCTCAATATTCTCTTATAGATTAACACAAAACATTAATCCGTCTGTATGTTTAACCAAACAAAAATTGATAAAAAAAATATCATTTACCTTAAATTATTTCTTAACAGTAAAGAACTGTTTTTAATTTTATGCATTTTTTTTTTGAAAGTTTCTTAACATAAATGTATTTATGTATGTAATTTACATAAAACTAAAGTTTATTCCCTATTGTAAACAAAATGTTTACAATCTTACCATTATTTCGATTTTGATATAAAAATATTTTAAATAATAAAATAATTTTCAAATTACTCCTTGAAAAGAAAAATAATTAAACAAAATCAAAATTATACATAAAACAATAACATGTATACAGTAAAACATGTCCTTTGTATACTAATCCCAGGCAAATCGCGCACTACTTAAATTTTTTCTTCAAAGTAGTGGTAGACTAAAATAGTATATAGTAGTTAAATTATATAAGGAAACATTAAGTCTATAAAATCCTTACTTATTTATAATAACAAACTACTTTACCCATTATTAATTCCAGCAATTAAATTTTTCTTTGTAAAATTAGATATAGGCTACATACCTAATGTTCTTGTAATAATCAAGCAGAAAAAATTCGATACAATTGCATATCATTAGGAACAAACATTTTCAAAAAGATCAAATATTAGCTCATTATTGTGCACTGTCGATAAGCTAAAATGACACTATACACAAAACTGTTTGAATAAAAAAAATTACACTACTGTTCGATTTACGAGTTAAATTACGATACTGTTAATATTTTATTAAAAGATTTGTTGAAGAAAAATTCTATAACAAACTTTGTATGACGTCCTTTAAAAATTCTTAAAACTTATATAAAATATAGAGTAAATATAAATAAAGTAAATTAAAATATTGTAATTTGTTAATAAAATAAATTGACGGCCATTTTGTTTTTTTAAGACTCAACAAAGCTATGCTTGGATATAAAAAGCTTACCACTACTTTTCTGCTTTTGCAGAATTAAAAAAATTTTTGTGGTTGTGTTACAATAAATAATCAAAGAGTAGCATTTTTAGGACTTTGAAAGTTATAATTTTTAGGGTGGGGGAGATAGGTAAAAATTTTATTCTACTTAAACAAGTTTTTAGTAAAGATCTGTTTACATGTGAAATTTCAGCTGTATATCTTAAAGCGTGTAGAAGTTTTGTAAGCAGACATACGGACGAATGGACGAATGTACGAATGGACGAATAGATGAACGAGCGGACGAACAGACGAACACACGAACAGACGAACAGACGAGCGGACGGACGGGCGGATGAACAGAGTTAAACTAATAAGAATTTTTTTTTTAATTTTTTTAAAAATGTGCTAAAAAATAGAGACACAAATACATAAAAGAAATTGAATGAGTTATGAATAAATAACAAGGGTATGCAATAAAAAATTAATAAAAAATTTCAATAGATTTTTGAAATTTAATTTTTAGTTTTTGAATATGAGTTCCACACTTAATTTCCTATATTATAAGTACATAAATAAGATTAACGTTTTCGAATTTCAATTATTTCGAATTTCTATACAGAACTAGAAACAGAAATAAATACAAAAATAGAATATATGACTAAAATTTAACGAATTCCATATGTCATAAAATTTATGTAATTGTAGGAATTAATAATGGGAAAAATATTAATTTAGCACCCGACTATGTTTTTTTTCTCTCTATATATATATATAGGTCTCCTTGTTTTTATAGCCCTAGAAAAATGTTGGAAAAAACCGAATGAATTATTAGAATTCTTTTTTTTTTATATATGTAATTCCTTTGAATTACTTTAAAAAAATAAGAAAATATTTAGTCTAATAAAAAATAGCACTCACACATAATAATATACATACTTATACATTATGTAGTTTACAAAATGTTATTTTAAATAACGGATACTGAAAAAATGAAAAATTCAAGGTAACTTAACGGCAGATAAAGCACTGCACCATACGAAAATATAAATTTTCATTACTTAAATCGAGTTTTAATAAAGAATAAAGTAAAACCTGCATAAAATGAATCTATTACAAATATGTCATCTATGTATTTGTATTTGAAACATATTTGAGATTTTAAAAAATTTTCACTTGTAGTTTTTATCAAAAAGCAATAAAATTCAGTGTTAAATGTTTTCTTTCAATACAAAGTTAATAAAAATTTTATTTTCTTATATTATTGGAGATTTCACTCTTCAATCTAGAATTTATATTCTATTTTTAAACAAAGCAATATTTCGTTTATTTTCAAAGATAAATTTAAAGTTTCTGAACAGCGCATTTAAAAGGATGTTTAAATAATTCTTTTCATCTTTTAATAAAATCATATGTTGTCCTCAAACTAAGGATGTTTAAATAATCCTTGTGATTTTTTTACGACTCACAATTTCCTATTCCTTATAGCAGCCATCGGCAAAGTGCGGTCCATTTAACTTCAAAATATATGGCCGATAATACTGCTTACAAGACAAGAATATTTTCGATTGCACCTATTAAAATTTTCAAGAAATTTTGAGAATTCAATCATAGATAATAGACAATAGAAATTCCATACAAATTTATCGTTTGTCAAAACAAAACAAACAATAAAGTCAATTGAAAATGTAATTTTTCTTGTAAGTATGTAATGTAAAAACTCAAGTGGTCAATACTCATGCTGACATGGTATATATTTGCTCCTAACCCATAAAAGTTCGCCGACAGTTGCTTATAGTATATTATGTACGTACAAACATATTATAAAAGCTCAATAATAATAAAAATTTAATTTCTCATTTTTAAATTTTTGAAATGTCGAATAAAATTTGAAATAATTTCTTCATTATCATTTCATCAGTAAGTATATCAAAAGCGTGATAAAACTATTTTAGCATTATATTGTGGCTAAAACTATCAATAAATTTAAATATTATTTCAACATTATTAAATTTATTATTAAAACGAGTTTTCTTTAAGATTCCATCTTATGTAGGTTTTACTCTACAACTGTCGTTTTTTCTTTTATTATTATACATCATTTCATCGGTTAACCCAAAAACAAAATCTTTATATAAAACAAAGTATAAAAATAAATTTCACTAAATAATCACCAATTCAAATATACAAAATTCAACAAGCTAAACTTGAATTAAACATTATTTCATAAAACATATTTCATTTAAACCAATATTTTTATTGCTATTAAAGCAATATTGTATTCAACGAAAACTATACTTAAATCATTCTGAACACAAAAACATCTGTATACCAAAAATGAAATCTTTAATAACATTTGACATAATTTAACAACCTGATATTCAAAAACTGTCAAAATATAAATAAAAAATCTATCAAATTCAATGTACAGTGTTTGATAAAAGTTTTAATTGAACAATTTTAAGTTCAAAATTTATAATACATTTAAAATCAATTCAAAATTTAAATCACACTTCAATCAAATATAAATAAAACAGATATTAAAATGATATTTTCATTTTGAACGTTTGTATAAATTCGTAACAAAACAATATTGAAATCAAACAAAATAAAACTAAATTGAATGAGTGACATCTATATTTCAATAAAAATAAAAATGAAATATAGATGACGCTGGTATTAAACAATTGAATTGCTGTCAGCGTCTGCATTAATTTGTTTTTTTTTTTTGTCGACGCAAACTTTTTTCTATTAATATTTAAAATTAATTATGCACAAAAACAAAAAAAAAATATAATAAAATTAGTATTAATTTATTAACTGAATTTTATTTAAATTCAAAAACAAAAAAAAAAAATTTTTTTCTTCAATTATGTTATCCTTACAGAGTTATGCGGCAATATTCTAGTCAACCAAATAAATTTCGAAATTATAAATATAGGGCACTTAGGTACTTAGTAAAAAATAATTAATATGTCATTTAAAAAAAAAAAAATTAGTGCAAATATAATTCCTATAAAAATCTGTTCTTTTTTTTTTTACGTACCCCATAAATCAATAATAAATATTTTACAAACAAAACAATAAATATAAAATAAACTGAATGAATGAATGTAGAAATTTCCCTAACTATTGTTTTTTTTTTTTCAATAAATTTTATATTTATACATACAGTAAAATACAATAATGGAAAATTAATAACTTTTCTTCGTTTATTATGTTTATCGAAATGTAGAATTTGAAAAATAAAAAAAAAAACGTATTGAACTTTATTTTGTGTCTTTGTTGTAATATTAATACAGTATTATTTTCGTAACAATATATTTGTTGAAAATTATTACATTTCTTGGCCAACCCTTAATTTACTGTCGATATTATGTAATAAAATTTAGTCATATAATTCATTATTTAAATATCTTTTCATGTCATTATTATACATATAGTATGTTTTAGTCGAAATTTTCTATTTCAGTTGAAATCAAAGTTTTAACTTTTAGAACCTGCTGGTAAAGCGAATAGGGACAAATCGATATACTACGGCGGAAAATTTAGCATCATCATACTATTGCTAACGTTGGAATCACCAATCGAAGTCGATTTCAGTTCTACTGCCATACCTATAGAGAACGCCACCTTTTGTAATATTGATACGGTCATAATGTATTACTTATTACAATCTTATACAAGTATTCTATATGTGGCAATTGTCTGAATATATCTTTGCGTACATTTTGTACTCAGACTTTTCTATGTTCTCTCCTTATTCTCTTCTCAGTTTTAAATCTCAATTTTGAACTTTGAGTTTAACAAAATAATCAAAATATCCATAATATTACCATAATACAAACAAGCTTGAATAGTCTAAAGAGAAATTTTTCTTTGCCTTCCTCGTTAAATGCAGTACTGGAACTATTTACAACAGTAAAATAAATAATTTCCTTCAACATTCTTTGTGATGACACAAACAAATGATTCTCGCAAGATATTAGTGATTGTTGGATTCTTTTGGAATAACGATATTCATATTTACTGCTTCATACGCACTGCACTTATTCCACAATTTTGAAATACAACAGCGAAAAACAAAAAAGTTTACTTTAAAATCTTGAGACTTTATCGATTAAAAACTGAAATAGAAAAGATATTGTCAAAGCCATTAAATTTGAAAATCGTAAATATTATCATGGTAAATGAAGGGTTGGTAAAAACTTTCGTTCTTCTTATATATCTAATACTAATCTTTTCTTCAATTCTTATATAATATTGAAAACGAACTTTCTATATCTGTATACTATTTGTCTATTATAACATTACTTTATTAATTGCATTAGAAAATTCTATATATAACGATATTTCGTTGAGAAAATATTTTATAAGCATTTACAAATTTTTAATTTTGTAAGTAATGAATTATAATAAAAAGCATAATTAAAAGAATTTTAATATTGTCAGTAACAATTCAGTAATTTTTTCAATGAATACTAAAGAATAATTTAAAAGTAATTGTAATTTCTTTCAATACCACCTTTTCAAATTGTAACATTAATAAATTTCTTAATCCTTCTGATTTTAAGTAAAAAATATTAGCAGTTGGACCTATTAAAATCGTATAATAATAGAATCTTTGTAATATAAAACAAAAAATTTCTTTCTCTATATCTTATAACAGTAAAAATGCATTGTTTTTTTATAATGTATAAAAAATTATAAAATTATTTTAAATTTTAAAAATATTGTGTAGATTAAATGTGCATATACAAAAAATAAAACAAAAATAAAAATTAGTATAATTATAGCATTATTAGAATTTACTATATTGAGAGTATAAAGAGAACGTAAAGTAAAATTTAGACTTCGTAAATATTTCATTCTATTTTTTGTTTTATAGTAATTTATTTCAATTTGCAGATATACCTAATTCAAATTTATTTTAATTATAATTGTGTACACGTAATAAGTAAAAAAGCAAATTCAAGAATCTCATATTATTCGAAACCCCAAAGTTTTCCCTTTCATGGTGTAGACATGCTTTATTCGGCCTAATATACAAATTTTTGCTATCCATATTTAATATAGTTTCCAATAAAATATATTTTATGTATGAATGTACATTTGTATATATATACACATTAGCTTCTGATCTTAAGAATTCTAGTTTAACATAAATCTTACGAATTTACTTTTACATGTACATATAAAAAAAATTTAAATAGTTTTATTTAATTTAATAAATTGAAAAATCAATAAATGACTTTAATATTTGAGAACTTCAATTTTCTGCCACTTTTTCAAACACTTCCAGTTATTATATCACAAATAATACAAAACAATGTCACCTTCCAAAACGCTCACAAGTGTTTAATTTATCAGTCGAAATCACTGACATGAAACATAAATTTTCTAGACGCAGGAATTTATATGATGGCAAAAATTAATCTCAGTGTTGAATCGATTTAGGAATATTTAAATTGAATTTCAAAATATGTAATTGCCAAATTGACGTGTTTTTCTAATTCATGATATCTTGTCGGAACATAATCATCATTTTTTGACACTTTTTAAAATTGAGCACAGGTCTACGTAACACATTTGACAATATTAACCCATTCGTAAATTCTATCTAAAAAAACCATTAACCATTCGTAAATTCTATCGACTCCTAGATTCGATCATCAAACAAAGTTTAGGGATAAAATATTTTTTAGGAAACAAAATAATTGGAAATATATTTTTTATACTCAATATGTTAATTATTTTCGAAATGTAAACTTATTTTTTTTGACATTCGGTTCTTAAGTGTTATATTTTTAAATAATATAAATAACACTATAAAATAATACTAAAACTACTTGCATACACGAACAACATTCATAACAGAATTTCGTACTTAAAGGTTTTTCTGCAATCTACAATAATATTTCTACAAATTTAAAGCGTCACAGTCGACAATATCGCACCGATACTTTCAATAATTTTCAAAAATTTTTTAAGATCAAATTTACATACATTATATAATTTCTAATAAATATGTTGTTACAAATTTCAAATATAACCATTTTAAAATTTTACTTAGAATAAACGAAAAAAGTTATTTTAAATAAAAAAAAAAAATAAAAAACAAAAACTTGTAAAATAGCTATACTTTCACAAAAAGCAAAAAAAAAAATCTCCTATACTCATATATATGTATATATATATATACTTTTTTTTTTGTTATTTTTAATTTAAAAAAAAAACTACAGAAAATAAAATTCAATAACGATTTTATGTCATAAATGTTATTAGAAATTTGAAAGTATACATTGTATATGTGTAGCAAAATTCATATACCAAAGTTACAAATCTAGAATCAAAAAAATTAAAACACGCAAATAACACCAAAAATCAAATGTTTCCAATTATATCACTCTTACTTTACACACCTATATATATAATATAGTTATCTACATAATATATATACGTATATCACGAATTGTTCCTTATATGTATATTATTGCTCAATATATAAATAAAATTATTTAAAAAAATATATTATATAACTATATATAAAATAAATAAATATTAATATATATATATATATATATATAGATTATATTTATACATAACATAAATATACATGGTACTTAAAATATGTATGTATATATATATATATAGTAACACAAGTAAAAATGTATGCGCATATATATAACAAAAGATCACAAATATTTTCCCTTCAACTTTATATAGAAAATGCAGCAAAAATACTGGCAAAATATCAAAATTGGATTTTTATTATTTCAATTAATTTTCAATTTAATTTCTTTAATTAATTTTCTTATTTAATTCTTTTGTGAATTTTCAATTTTCTATATTTTTTGGTACTTTATTTAATTTTAATAAAAATTTTTATTTAAAAAAAACAGCAAATCAATTAAAATTTTTTCTGCTATAAAAGCTCATGATGACAATACAAGTGGCTTTTTATAGTCAAAAATGAAATTCAGAAAATATGAACACAAATTTTTTATAATTTCATTAATTTTTTTTTATTTTGTTACTTTTTTTTTATGTTTCCTTCTTTATTTTTTCTTTATATTTTTTTTTAATAAATTACTTTTTAAATGCTCTATAATATTAACAATAAATGTTAAACGCTTTTTAGTGCTTCTTAGAATTCCCTTAACTTATAAATAAATGAAAAAAAAGCTATGAAAATTTTTAATTATAAAAAAAAAATCCTGTCCTTTAATCAAACCCTTTAGTGCATTTAGAAACCATTTATGCTTTAACCCTATATAAATTTAATGCAAAGTAAATATTGTTAGTAACCTTAATTTTTGCACAAAGCGCTTTGTTACAAAATTATTGATAAATTTTTACGATATTATTGTTTTTTTTTGTATTTTTTCTTCTTCGTTTCAATTATTCTTCATTGATAACAAACCAACAATGGACACAAAATCAACTAAAAAACGAAATAAAAAAAATGAACAACACTGTTGCAGATATCAGAGACAACAAACCCGTGAAGGTTTATTACCAAATGCTGATAATCTTACATTTTCACCAAGTCGTATTAAATGTCATCATCCAAAATGTCCAAAATATAATCGTAAACCATCAAATATTCAAGATCAAATGATAACTGTTATGGTACCATTAAATTCAAATAATAATAATTTGCAAGGGGCCTCAACACAAAATTTAAATTTAATACCAAACAATAATAGTATAATACAGCATATAAATAATAATAATCATACAATAAATGGTAATAATGGTACAACTGGTATTACTGGAAATATAATTGGTAGTGCTGGTCATATTAGTAGTATTGGTGGAAGTAATATTGCTATTGGCATGAATAATAGTCATAATTCATCACCAGATAATTCAGAATATTCAATTGAAGTGACTGGTGGTCGTACATCAAATTTAAAAAAAAATACAAATCATACAAAAGATGATATTAGTAGCAATCAGAAGACAATTTTATTAAAAATACCATCTGGAAGTGATACAGAAAAATTTATTGTAAGACAAATTGCATTGATATCAATAATTAAATTCACATTACTTAAGATTCTGTTATTACTAACTTTATATTCAATTTTTATTTTATAAAAAAAAAAATTTCAATTTCTTCATTAACTTTAAGTCTCTATCTATACACTCTAAAATTTTTCTTAGCTTACAAGCAATAATTGTAAATAACTACTTGCATTGTACATGAAAATTTTTGAAAAAAAATAAAATCTCATAATAACAATTAAATTATAGAATCCTTGTACATCGGGATTTTTAAGCCCTCCAACATCGGCAAGAAGACGATCATCTGTTATGTTTAATGAATATGTTATATTACATACACCACCAACAATACCCGAACCAACACCAGACAAAAATGTTTGTTCATCTGAAAAAATGACACAGGCAGGTGATGGAAGTATTTGGCAGGTATAAAAACAAAAAATAAATTAAAACTTTAAACAATAAGGATAAGAATGATTTTTTTTATTAAAAAGAACAGGTACATACATAATTTATATAAAGCGAGTTTTCAACTCATTAATAATTTATGATGAAATTTTTTTTGGAAATATTATCTTTGAAAAGCAATTTTTGGAATTTTGATTAAAATATGGTTCTTATTTACTAATTTTACGATATTTATGTATGTATAAACATTAAAGTTTTTTAAATTTTCAATTACGCGAGACCATATGTTACAATTTTCCGAAAATATGCAAAATTTAGTATTCAATTTTAGAATTGTAACAGTAAACAGCGAAACTCTGAGAAAATTTTATTAAAGAAAATTATTTAAAATTCTTTAATGAATATAAATGTAATGGCATACTTCGTTTTGTCATAATAAAAGAACAGTTTTATTTTAATTTATAACAAAAAGAAACTATTTTGCCCCTATTAAACTTTAACATTAAGAGTTATTCATATAACAAATTTAATAGGTATATAAAAATAGTTAGTTATTTAATTTGAAACAAACTAATAACTATAATGAAAAATAATATTAGTAATTTTAAAATATGGAATGAGATTAATAATATTAAAATTGGGAATTTAAATTTCCCAAAGTTGTAGATGTAATTTAAATACATTCAACTTCTGTTGTGAAGAGTTCGAATTTGCAATGAGATTAAAAACCCATTAATCTCGAGTTAACAAATTTTTGTTTGCGACCTCTATTACTTAATAAGATCTCCATACGAAATAAACTCATATACACCTATAACAATCTTGTTATATTAATTAGTAAGTACTAACTTAAGTAAATTCTAAATAAATCGTATATCTATTTCCATATATTATTTTTGGGCATAGGTGTTATAAAATTTTTCTGTTAAAAATGTAGACAACTATAAAATTTTTTAGAGATGTGTTCTACTAAAGGTTTTATTTAAAATGATTCATTAATTTTTTACTATTTATTTATTAAATAATTAACCCAAATAATAGAATAAATTTATCATTTATTTAAAATAATTATAATTATGGTGAAAGTGAAATATACTGTTCACGTAAATTAATAACCCTAACAAACATTTTTATTAACACATTTTCTCACTCACACACTTATTTAAGTGAGCACGTATAATTATTAAGACTTTTTTTTTACTCATTTTATTTTGAATATTTAAAAAATAAAATCTGCTTAATTCTTATATTAATTTGCATTGATATTAATTAAAATTGAAATTTTTATATTAAAGGTTAATTTACCCCAAACTTTGGGCACCAATTTGTCAAATTCATTTGCTGATTGTTCTGAACTATCATTACATGATGCTATGACTTGTCAAGAGTTATTAGCATTTTCAGTTGCATTTTCTGCTGCTTTACCAACTGGTCAAGGTACATTAGAATCATTTTACACATCATTAACACAACACGCAACTGGTCAACAACATAACATTAATTTAGAAAATCAAAACACCAACAATTTAATAGAAGATTATTCATGTTGTTATGATTTATATCAAAATGCATTAAGTCCACAAGAGGAACATCGTAAAAAAAAGCGCAAAAGACTGACATCAGCCTGCGTTGCTATTTATCGTTTTATATCAAAAATTTTTAATTTTATTAGAAGATATATAAAACTTTTGGTTGAACATAAATATTTTCAACAAGGAATACTTTTAGCAATTTTAATTAATACCCTATCAATGGGTATAGAATACCATGATCAACCGGAAGAATTGACGGCTATTGTTGAAACAAGTAATATTGTTTTTTCAGCAATATTTGCTGTTGAAATGCTCTTAAAAGTATTAGCTGAAGGTCCATTTCGTTATATTGCAAATGGATTCAATGTTTTTGATGGCGTTATCGTAATTTTAAGGTGAGTTTCATAAAAACGTTTTGAAAAATCAACAAGATTATTGCACCTAACTTTTTTTATAATTAAGAATTCGGAGAAAGGAAACAATTAAATTTTTGAATTTATTTAAATTTTATTTTAATTCAAAATTAAAAATTCACATTTTTTCACAAAAATTTAATTTTTCATATTTGAAAAAGAAATATCAAATTTATTCACAAATAGTGGGATTTTTTTTAAATTCAAAATCTAATCCGTAGCTTAACTTCAGCAATCACTCTATAATATTGATAAATTCAAAATTTCTTAAAGTTATTTTAATATTAATATTGATCTTACTTAAATTATTTGAGGTTAAGTAAAGGATCCTTAAATTATTGAAAGTATGTGATTAATTTCATTAACATTTAAATTTCAAAATGTTCACGTCCATGTTTAAATTTTTCATTCTTCCCAACTGAAAAATTTGATCAAATTATATGCAATACTTAAAGATTTCGTCAATTTTTTCGGAAGGAGATTTTACTTTAAAGATTTTGCTGTTCTTATTTAATTTCAATCAATTTACAATTATAATATTGCGGGGGTAATCATGAGTAATGTCGTTTTCTAAAATACAAAACACACACTAACAGACAAGCATCGTATATAGGTAAATCATGAAATACGAAACAACATTTGTTTCAAATCGCTTAATTTTTTAAAGCATTGATATTTTAAGAAATAACAAGTTTTGAGAATTCTTCATACAAATAATTTGTTTTGTTTTTTTACGAGAATTGTAAAAAAGAATTTTACGAGAATAATTTGTTTTACGTTTTTTTATCTCAAAATTTTAAGCTGTTTTCTGATAGTAAATTATCCGACTTGCGTTTCCATTTCCCGTAACATCCATAATAAACAATTAGGTATAAAGTAAGTACAAACAATTTACACTCATTAGCTTCTCCAGTTGTTTTTTTTTTCAGTTTTTGCAGTTAAACTTGCTTTTGACAAAAACTATAAACAAAGATAACTCAAAATCGCATCATATTATTATAAAGCTTCAGAAAATGACTTTTTTTGTATCATTTTAATTCAGAATAATAAAATAACGACATTACTCATATAGATTCTCCTAGTATGACAATTGCTACAATATTTCTTAACGGTGATCCGCCATCGCGCATGTTACGAATTTGATGGATGCTTTAACAACATGGAGTCGATTTCAACAAAAACAAAAGTGAAATACAAATTCTTCAAAATTTGAAGCAAGATTTATAATGTTGGCCTAACAGTATTTTATTGACAAAAATGAAAGAATATTGGCCCTTCAGAATAAATCAGCACTATAGCAATGTTTATTCAATATTAATTCAACACTATATTTTGAATTTTTGTTGAATAAACATTGCTATAGTGTTGGTTTTTCGAAAACTTTGTTCAAAACAGTACGAATATTTGTAATATTGAAAAATTACTCACTTGCGTAAATTTATGCGTGGAGCATTAAATTTAAAATAAGTTTTAAATTACAAAATAAAATCTTATTCAAATGAAAAAGTTGAAATTTTAACCAAATCTCTTCAACACTACAATTTTTTTTTATTTTTACTTTTAATTTTTTTCCATTAAATTCTGAATTATTTTAGTATGATGGCGGAATTCACCTTAATGGTTTTAAATAAATCGTTTCTAATAAATTTTTTGGTATAAAATAATTAATATAATAGTAAAATTGTAACACTTTTACAGTTAAACAAATTTTACACTATTTTACAATTAAAAAAAAAAAATTATATAATTTTAGTGTTATTGAAATAGGACAAAATTTTAATAATGTTGGAGGTGTAAAAGGCAGCAGCGGTTTAAGTGTATTGAGAACATTTCGTTTATTAAGAATTTTAAAATTAGTTCGATTTATGCCAAATTTACGAAGGCAACTTTTTGTTATGTTAAGAACAATGGATAATGTTGCTGTATTCTTTTCCCTTTTGGTACTTTTTATTTTTATATTCAGGTAAGATATAAATTTACATAATAATTTATGATATTTTACAAATAAAAAGAAAACAAACCCAAAAAAAAAATTTAAATTACAAAGTTATTAAATTTTCGACAAAAGACGAAAAAAAAAAACCAAAAATATCAAATAAATGAATATTAAAGTGATGTTTTCAAATATTTTATAGCTAGAGTTTTGTATTAAATATTCTCCAAGAAAAATTCCATATTTAATATTTAAATATAATTAATTTTCATTCAATAAATCATAACCTATAAGTATATAATATATTTGTAATTTGAAAAATTATTTCTATATGTAAATTTATAGCTGAAAAGCAACTGACACGTCACATAGTTGTGAAAAAATCTCTAAAATTGTAACGTGTTAACATAAACTTTTATTCATTGATACGCAATAATTCGAAATCTGACGTAAGTTTTAAGCACTTTTCCGAAAAAAAATTTTGGAAAAATTAGTTTAACTATATCAGTTTGTCCTTGTGTCAGTTTGCGAGACTTCAGAGAGAGGGTTGAAATTTTATACACAAATAGATTTCAGCAAAAACTCATTTCTTTAAAAGACAATTTTTACCTATTTCGACCCCCCCCACTTGGGAAAATTTTAGCCTGACAAAGTGATGGAACTGACATTTTTGACAATTTATTGTAACGAAATTATAAATATTTTTTAAATTCTGCAAACTCAGAAAAATATTAACATGTTTCTTCTACCGCGATGCAGCACAATTGAACATCAAAAAGACAAAATGGCTGTTAGAAATCTTCTAAGGGGCAAAATATAGGAGTTTGATATTTTAGTACGTTTTAGATACAGATAAATTATATATTTTGTTAGAAGAAATTTTTCTAGTTCTAATTGTCAATTTTCGGAATTCGTAACGCTAAATGCCTTGTCATCAAAAAGTATAATTATTTATCTTTATTCACTAACTTAACCATCCCATTCAACCATTATGTTAAAGCGCATCTTTAACTTTCTTATTTTGCTCATCCCAAATGTATGCAATAAATTATTATACAGCTGTTATATAGTATTTTCATTTGTTCGAAAGAAAAGTGCTCACTTACAAACCACTGGGTTGATTCAACATCTTTCAAATCAAACATTTCGGAACTACGGTTTTGAAGCTTAATATTTTTTAAACAATAAATATCAATATTAATTTCAAATATGCTGTTTTCCAATATTTTAATTTACAATATTATTGTTATCTTTAAAAATCGTTAAATTTTGGCTTATTTTTCAATTGGAGAAATTCCCAGATCCCTTAAGACTTAAATTTAAAAATACTTTAAAAAATAATTTTTCATCTTACAAATATAAAAAAATTTGGGTATATGAAATGAACCTTTTTTTTTTTGTAATTTAATTTTTTTTTTCTTTAATGGTATAACATAAAAGTAAAAAAAAATCTAGTTCTATATTTAAAACTAAGAAAACTTAAAAGGCTACATTAATTGGTTATTAATAAAGGAAGGAATTTTGTAATTAAACAAAAAAAATAAATAAAAAATATAGAAACACACATAATAAAATAATATTTACGCTTTATTACAAAATTTAATAAACCTAACATTTTCTATATATATAAAACAAATATTTTTTTAAACAAATGAATGTTTTTTTCTTAATAACAAACAAGCTACATTAATATACTGAAAAAAAAATTAATTTTTAATTTTTAGTGATAATTTATAACATAACCATGTATTAATACAATTTGCACACAATAAATAATGAAGAAATTAAATATACATATTTTTTTTTAACTCGATTTGTTCTGTAACTTAATAAACATATTATACTCTCTATAACAGGAACCTGTTAATAATAACTATAGCAATATAAATTAATTCATGCCTCCTAATCGTAAAATCAATTTAATCAATTCAATTAAATGAATCGAGCCGTTAACCGTTGTAAGAAATAAATTATTTTTTTTAAAATTTTACGAGTAGGAAGCCGGATGCAAGTTAAATTTTTAATATTACCAAAGTGTTTTTAATAAGATTAAAAACAAAGAAACACAACAATAATATTTGCTTCAAACAATTAGCACAGTCTAAATAATATCTAATAACAGTCTAAATAATGTTCAAATTTGTAAAATTCATTTTTAATATATAATATTAGCATATTATGGTATTGTAGTCCCATCAATTTAAAATTTATGATTCCGATTATACCACATTGTGTTAAATATTATGTCAAGTCAATAGTTAAATATGTAACTGCTTACCTCAGTCAATAATACTTTCACTCCTTCTTCACAACTTGACATAATGTTTTTTCTAGTAAGCATCAGTTTTATAGAAAAACTTTTATGTTCACAGAAATTTTGTTTACCGAAAATAACTTCATGTTATAACAGTTATTATCATCATTATTATCGCAATAACAGTCGTAATAGTAATAAATAGTTCAATGTGTTAAACGTAGTACTGAACAAGAACGCTAAAACTTTTAATTTTGTTTTATTTTTTTTAATACAAATATTATTAAATTGCTTAGAGATTATAACAAATCCGAAATTCTTTAATTTTGATAATAATATCTTGAATTTGAAAGAAAACTGAATACTCAAGATATTCCTTAAATTATGCTAAATGTTATAAATGAAAAAATATATCTAATTAAAATTTTGTGAGATAAGTTTAAGTTATTTGCTTTATTGAATTAGTTCAAAAAAATAATATTTTTTTAGTGTTAATATAGTTTGAAAGCAATTGACCGATGAAGTAAGTGATTTCTGAAATGCCAAAGGCGATGTAGATGAATAATTCATCTTATTTCAAAGAAATCATAATTTTTTAATTACATAATATCCCTCAATATGTTCTTAAAGTATTTTGCGAGTCATTAAAATTTAAAACAAAATTAATTAATATGATTATTCAACGTGATTAATGAGCTTACAAAATATCAAAATATGTAATTATAAATTTTACATAATATACATTTTTGTAACATTTAAGATTAATTCACATTATTTACTAATTTATTATTTTATTTTACAATTTTACAATTGAAATTATGAAAAATAGTAAACACTTTAAAAATTCATTTTAACATTATTTGTTAACATTTTATATCTTTTTTTTTTAAATTTTTATCATACGAGTATATTATTGATTTTACTTTTTATATTTATATTATTGATATATATATATATAAGAGTATATATATATCAATTATATATTGATATATATATTTATATAAAATTGACATATATATGCGCATATTGATATGTATATTCATTATATATATATATATAGATATATATATATATATATATATATATATATCTAATTTTTCTTAAAATTAATAATTTTTTTTTTTAAATTTAATGATTTTTCATAAAATAACAGCAAATTAATTACATATAATGCAAAAAATAATAATTTTATATTATTAACATTTGAAAATAGAATTTATGTAGCAATGTTTTATTCTAATAATTATAAAAATTTATTTATGAAATATACTTTGTCACTATATATACCAGTATATAAAGAAAATTAAAATAAAATTGTAATCCAAACCACTTTCTTTAAAGGAAATTTTCATGTGCATTTAGAAAATAGTAATTTTTTTAATTATAATTGATTTTTATTTTCAAGAATTTAAATTAAAAATGCAGTTTAGGTAAAAACAATTGTAGCACTTACTTTTTTCTTTAATTTTATTGTATAGGTTCATTAATTTTGTAGTCATTTAAAAAGATCTATTTAAGAATTTTACACTCAGTCCATTAAAAATAAATTTCTTTTGCTTCAAAATTAAAAAATAAAATAATATTTAATTAATTTTTATTTGAAAATTTAAGTTTAGTATTTTTTTTATTTTATTTAAAATAATTATAGAATTTTACATTTTTTCATATTTTTTTTTTTTTATATCTTACACGCTTTTCAATCACAGGTGATAATCTAAATTTGTATATACGTATAAAATGTGTTATTTATGCGTGTATCTTGTATATTTATTTTCTTAAATAAAATTTAAATACTTAAATATTTTCTAAATGAAGTCCAGCTATTCTAAAATTGTAGTATATCCAAATTAAATTTTCACATCTCAGCAGAATTATTGACACCCTCCCATTTTTCAGATCGTATTGAACCGTGCACATTAACTTCATTTAATAAAAGTTTTACCTAATCCAAAGATTCTACGAAACATCGGGATCAGTCTCAGGGACTTGATCCTAACTACATTATGTTTAAGAAAATAATCAGACGATTTTAGTGAATCGACAGTAACGTGTCATATAGAATTTCAAAGAAATCAGGTGCCAGCTCCTGAATTTTTATTATGGACATTAAAGCATTTTACCCCCATTTATAAAAACATAATCGATTTTTTCGCATTTAAATGTTTTAATTTGGGTTAGTAAAAAACCGGAATATGTTATACTAACTAGAATTTGAAATAAAAGTTTAAAGTGCATTTTATTGTAAATTAAGAAATTAGACTGCGGTCGATTATGTATTGACCATGTCAGATTTGCGTTTTACCTATATAACACAATTATAATTAAACAATTTTTATAACACATTTTTGAATATCATTAATACAAATTCAATATTATACTTGTTACCGACCGTATTGTGTAAACAATAGGTAGGTTATGTGATGGCAACAAATTTTGCATATCGAGTTTTCGGTGAGAATGCACTTCTCCATAGTAGGAAAGTGTAAGTAAACTATTTTTAGCAACCTGTCGATCTGTCGGTCTGTGTGTGCACGCGTGTATCTCTAGTTCGGCTGAACCGATTTCGATAAAATTTTATTTATCAGTTGAATTCGACCAAGGCACGGGTTGATCAACTTTTGGGATATATAAGGCCTCGGGAAATTAACTTTTTAGCGGGCCTATTTTACATTTTTGACCATTTTGAAGAAAATATTGAACCGATCTTCTTGAAATTTCAAATATAAGCTTTGCTCAACCGTCTGCGAAACCTTCTAACTTTTGGAAGAAATCAGGC